AAGGGAGACCCACTATAAAAGCGCTTGCGACCTAACTCACTTAATGATGATGTCTTTAGTTGTTGCAATTGATAAATCTTCACTTATCAATCAGAGAGAGAGCTCTACTTATCAATACCAATAAAAATATATTTTAACTGTTGAATGACTTATTCTTCAATTATTTAGTCTTAGAATTTGTATCTTTAATTTTCACCAATTGTCTAAATTTGATTTATTGAACCTTTTTGTCTGCTTACGCCTTACCTAACTAAAGATGATTTAGATATGTTAAGCCGTTTTTACATAAAACATTTAAAAAATTAAAAACATCTAGCTTATAAGTTATTTCTTCAAAGACATATATACCATCATTTTAAAGCAAACTTATTTGTCCACGGCATAAATGAATGATTGTACTGAAATGAATGAATATATATAGCCCATTGTTAGAAAGCTGGACAAACTTTTGTTTGCTGGTGTTTATATGATTATAAAAACACAGCTGGTATTATGCCATATAATTTCATTACTAATAGTGATTAAAATGCGTAATCTACGGTTCGGTACCAATTTCGTCGTCAGTGCTAATGAAAATATTAAATTTCTTGGTAACAAGGATGTCATATAACCTCCTAGATGGTATTTTAAAAGATATATGAACATCAAAACTCATGAGATACGTTTTATGAGTGTTTGTTAAAAAATGTCATTCAAGATCAATTAACAAAAACTATGGATTTTTTCCCTAATTTTTCAAAATAATTTCCCCTTCGTACATTGATTTATAATCTCGTAGCGGTTTTGATCTCAATATCATAGCCCTTTGAAAGACCACTAACTCAAGTATCGTAATTTATAACTCCCGTGCAGACGCGAATTAATTTTTATCAGAGACATGTCTCTGTTGTATTTAACAAGATTAGTAAATGCAACGACGTCTATTGGAAGGAGTTAAGAGTTATCGTTAATTATCTACTGTCCAATTTAAACAGATTGGGTTATCTCGCTTGGAAATGTGACATATTCTTGCACATGTTCTGTAACGATTTTAACGATTATTTGTAGATCTTGCCTTATGAGCAGTTTTTGCTATTTAAACTTCCTCTCTATTTGTCATGTAACATGAATGGTAATCTTTCCTTTGTTCTTCGAGTGATTTATAACTTCTGTTATTTTTAGAAGATTAACTGAAAGGTTTTTAGTTAGAGCGTTTTCGAATCCCGCCGTTGACCACTTCTCTTAGGAATAACAAAGAATGGATGGAGCTTAAACCAGTGCTCTAACTTCCATCTCAGAAGTAGTTAATACACTGTCTGGCTCCGCCTCCTTGGACTAGTAAATGACGAAAGAATAAAATAAAAATTTATAAAATGACCTTATTTTTTCCTACTGTCATTTTGGTTGGATACCTGTTTTTGTGGTGTCGGAATTAATATACTAGACATATATATGTCACTGGATGTTTTGTCATTTTCGCCATTTTACACAAGGCAAATTTGTCACCGTAAATTGAGCACGCTTCAAATATTTGTCCCTGGACCTTACCCAATTAACAATCAATCAATTAACTGATCATTTTCCAGTTGTTGTTAATGGAAGAGTAGTATATACGTTCATAATTGGTTTTTAAAATGTTTCCTTCTTATCAGAACGGTTAGGTCTTTTGAAAGTAAACATCCTACTCGAGATTTGAACATCGAATTAAATTTCGCATCCCCTCTCAAGAATATTTGGGCTGAAAAAAAACTATTCACTAATCTGTAAACTTATATGTAAATCCAACAATTGATTTAAATGTACATGTATCTGAAATGCAAATCCTACTGACATCTGCTGCATGTGTTAATTTATTGAAAATGAGAGATATTTGATTGACATATTTAATTCATGAAAAGCACAATAAAGTTTTATTGGTCAGCAGTTTAAAAGAGGGACGAAAGATACCAGAGGGACAGTCAAATTCATAGATCGAATTAATTTTTGATATGTGCCCATTAATATTACAAATCATACGTTAATTCGTAAAAGGCGTGCTATATATATATTACATAGTTTGAAAATGAAGGGAAATAACACAAAAAATGATAAAAAAACCATCATTAAAGGACAATAACTCCTATAAGGAGTCAACTGACGATTACGGCAAAATGACTTAGTTGTAGATCTTGTTTTGCTAATTGTTTTTGCTATTCAAAATTTTTCTGTCTGATATAGTTTATACAATATTATCTTGTATTAGAATGTCTGACGAATTGATCAAGTAAGTTACATAAGAGAGAAAGAGAGAGAGAGAGAGAGAGGAATGCTTACTCTCGGCTATCGAACCTACTTGTCTAACTCATTTTGGATTTGTGCTTTTCTGTTTGTTTTTAAACCCATGTTTGTCCTTGTTATACCATTACTTTATCACCAAAAAAGAAAACGCTAAATGAAATAAACACTTTATAAAATTAATTGTTGAAATGGACATCTGGTGTCGTTTTAATCAAACTTCTCCTCTTATTCAGTAATAATATGGCTGTTTGGATTCAATTTATCTTTCTTTGATTGTGGGGAAAGGTTCCGTATCGATTATTGACGACTCAATGGTATTTCTATAAATGCCTTGCACACGTTACCTTGTTTCAGACAAGTACGTCATCAATACTTGGTACGAAAAAAAAACGTTAAACCTTGTGAATAACACTTCTTTTATTAAAGGCCGAAATGCAGTTAGCTTTCTATTTATAAACTTCAAACATTACTTTAAAATTATGTCAGACAAGAATATGAAAGGAAAACAGAGATACCATATCAAAATGGGTTTAAAATGTGGATTATTTTATACAAATTAGACTGGTCTATGTACATCTACTATTACAGTTCCAAATATGCTAGTTGTTAATTTCTGTGTCATTTGGTCTCTTGTGGAGAGTTGTCTCATTGGCAATCATACCACATTTTCTTTTTATATAGATAGATATCTGTCTGATATACACGACAAATGGACCCCCCCCCCCCTAAACAACACCATTGCCGAAAACTACAAGTCAAACAACAGCCTACAAAACACTAAATCGAAAAGTATTCAATGACCAGTTGACATGCACCCCACTAAAACAGATGGATTGAACATGGGTGTTCAGGAAGGATAATTAGATTTTGTTCACTAATGGCACCAAATCACATTATAAAAAGTGCTTACTAAAGTAACAATCGTTTACTCTATTATTCTTAAATTCATAAGGAAATCTAACATATACACCAACAACACTGACTAAATAGTAAATCTAATACTGGACAATCAAAGAACTGTTTTGTATTCTTTTAAAATTCAAACAGATCATTCTTCACTCTTCTCTAATTTCAATTTACGCAAGCGTCCTTACACACAACATTATATTGCTGAATTCGTTAAATATTGCAGGAAACCCGAATAATAACAAATAGAATATCAGCGATTAAAACGACTATTTGGAATTTTGACGCTACTGATAAGTGTTGTATAGACGAAATGCGCGTCTGGCGAATCAAACTATGCGCCTAGAATCTTTTGTGCTGTTTTTTTGTGTGTGTAAACAATCGGAGTCCATCTCCTTTAATACATGCAAAAGTGTTAAACATTTTACCATCAACTCGTTATACAAATATTCCCCATTTTTAAACTGTAGGTATATTTAAAAAAAAATTGTCCATCTTTGTTTACAATAAAAAGAGTGGCAAGAGTATATATTGAGAAGGGACAGTTCTCACTTTGCAATTAAACCTCCAACTCATAACAAAAAGTACTTTACTGCACCAGTTGTGCATTTTGACAAGAATTGTCTCTCTAGGGATGCTCAAGGACAAAATATTTGAAAATCCAAAAACTTATTGAAAAATTATAGAGCTGATAAAACAAAACAAAAAAAAAGGACAAAAAGTTTAGACAAAGTCGGACAAGGAATCAGACCGATATATTTTTTTTAACAGACAGACGTTATTTATTTATTGGACTGAACTGTGTTCCTCTTCTTTCCAACATGAGCCTTTATTTGTGTGGTTGCAGACTTCGTATAGACGGCACGTCTCTAAAGACGACTTGAAAGAAGTAACAATTATTCAGCTATCGCTTAATTCATGTTCTGCAACTAGTACTCGTAATATGATGTCTTGAGTATATCAAAGTTTGTGACTTTATTGATTGTATATATCCATTGTACTTGAAAGAAATGACACTGCTGATACAGCCATGTCTCCGCAGTTTATAACTTGACCTAGAAATCGATAAAAGAAATGTCTTAAATATTCCCATTGCAAGCTTTCCATTTTCATATATGCTGCAACAATATAGAATTCTAGTGTTGTTTTACACTCTAGACGAAGTCATGTTACTAAAAGTGTGCAAATTTTGATGACTGTGCTGATTGCATTTATCTATCAATATCACTTGAAATAAAGGATATCGCAGATACAGCTATATATTCCCATTGTGAATTTTCCATTTTCATATATCTCATAGTTAATGCGACACTGCAGAGCTATTTTGAACCAATAGTTGATTTAATGATGATGTTTATAGAAGTCGTATTTTCGAAAGGCTACCATACTTTGGTTAGTGGTTACGAACAATTTATGTCTCATGGATGATCATGGATATAATGAGAACACTTTTATTTGCGAATTCTCATTTTGATGTTTACATATTTACCAGTGCACCATTTCCCAAAGTCAAATCAAACACTCAGACTGTTATTCATGCAACTCTATGCTAGTTTTAAATGTATAAATGCATTTGACTTTGGGCAATCTTATTATTCCAAAAGTTATTTTATACGTGTTAAACGTTTTAATGTGTAAAATGGAAAGTGTCTCAAAAAGATTTAGAGAACGCACCATTTCTTTGCCGCTTATAACATAAACAAAATATTTGTATGTTACAAATTTTTGTTATATTGATACTTAACAATGATTCCATTTACATTTTTTTGCCAATTTTGATATTTTAGATACGTACAAAATGCCAAATGATGAACACGGAAGTTTTTATCTAAGTAAACAAGGGACTTGAAACTCAAAAGGGAGATAATTCAAAGAAACATGGCAGAAGAAAAGAATACAGGCAACGTAGATGAAATGTTTAAGACTCCTAATGGTGAACATGGTACACAGTTTGAATCTTCTTGCGATGGAAAACAGCCAGACAATAACCCTGTCCCTGTCGAAATGGCAGAAATACACACATTCAAAGTCCCTGGCATAGTAACATCTAAACAGAATGAAAAACCCGCCACTAGCGAAGAACCCAATAGAGAAGCAATAGATAAAACAAATGACAAAGAAACTATCACAAGCAAACTGAACCTATTATCCCCAGCGGAAAAATTGAAAGAGACATCGACACCTATTCCTTACAAGGAACCGTCTTGGGGAGGAATAAGTAACGACAAGTACAGTCTTGAAGTTTTGAAAAATGGTGTCATTATTGACAAATTAGATTTAAGCAAATCGTTTTATGTTTTTGGCAGATTGCAAAGTTGTGATGTTACAATGGAACACCCTTCATTGTCAAGACACCATGCAGTTCTTCAATTTTCAAAAATAAAATCAGAAAAGCAGAACATTGGTTGGTATCTGTATGATCTTGACAGTACTCATGGAACATGGATAAATAAAAATAGAGTATACGCAAACAGATACTATCGTGTACATGTTGGTCATGTACTGAAATTTGGAGGCAGCTCACGGCTTTATATTTTACAGGTAATTATATACATAACTTGATCTCCAACAGGGTCATACACACGTCTTAGACACGCCATATCAAACATGTGTCTGCTGTCACATCCTTGTTACATTTTCATAAGATGAGCCCTGTCATCATCAAGATTATCTTTTCGCTGTTTAAAGTATTTGAAAACTTCTTGTATATATTTTAAATGGAAATTGACTTCCATTTTGATTAATTGCTTTTAATAACCATAAAATCTAAGAGAAGTGAAATTAAATGATGTACTTGATCACATAGTTGTCTTAAGCTAAATGTGATAAACATATACGGTGACCTATAGTTGTTAACTTCTATGTCATTTGGAGACTTGTTTCATTGGCAATTATACCACATCTTCTTATTTTTATATGTACATGTAACCCAAGTGAAATCAAAATTTATTTACCTTTTTATGCACATGTTCTACCGGCAATAAAGTTGTCAAAGATTGCAAACCCATGTATTTAAATTGATAAAATTTTACATTATGTAATGCACTGGTCATTCTGGTTAATAGAGTATTTTCCTGAGCAGTGTTTACTGGCCAACCTTATTGAACTTTCAGGGTGCCATGTGAGATTCAATATTTCAGTAATTTAGTAAACCCTTTATGATGCATAGGGAAATGGATATTCTGTTCTTTGCAAACTTTGTTATCAACTCCGAAGTGTTTATGTCTTTCTTCTATGCTCTTCAAAACAGGTGGTTTTCTCCTTGTATTGAGATTCCTCAACCAATAAAAACTGGCTACATTAAAATAGCCATTTGATAATTGCTAAAGTACAAATGTACTTATTGCCCTTTAATTGACATATTTCTACTTAATCATGTTTTTGCCAATAAATTTGAAAGCAATAATAGATAAACTGTAAACAGCAAGTAGGATCACTGATGCAAGATCTTCAAAAAAAATCATGGTGAACAATTCAGGCTCTAGTTTGTTTTAAAGTTTAGTTCTCAACTGCCCCTCATTTTTGATTTCCAGTTGTAACAGTCCAATTAAGTAATTATAAAAAATTTTGCAGTCGTATATTGGTATGACGTTGGCGTCGTCGTAGTCGTCGTTGTCCGAAGACACATTGGTTTTCGCACTCTAACTTTAGTTTAAGTGAATGGATCTCTATGAAATTTTACCATAAGGTTCAATACCACAAAAGGAAGGTTGGGATTGATTTTGGGGGTTATATGGTACCAACAGTTAAGGAATTAGGGGCCAAAAATAAGCATTTTTGTAACTTCCAGACATAACTTGTGTGTTAGTGTATGGATCTCTCTGACATTGTACCACAAGGTTCCATATCACAAAGGGAATGCTGGGATTGATTTTGGGGGTAATTGCCTCAGAATTTTTGGAATTAGGGGCCAAAAAAGGGGCAAAAAACAAGCATTTTTCTAGTTTCATGACAATAACTCGTGTGTAAGTGTATGGATCTTTCTGAAATTGTACTACAAGGTTCCATATCACAAAGGGAAAGCTGGAATTGAGTTTGGGGGTAATTGCCCAAAACGTTTAGGAATAAGGGGCCAAAAATAAGCATTTTTCTAGTTTCCAGACAATAACTTGTGTTCAAGTGTATGGATCTCTCTGAAATTGTACTGCAAGGTACCATACGACAAAGGGAAGGCTGGGATTGATTTTGGGGGTAATTGCCTCAAAATTTTAGGAATTGGGGGCAAAAAAGGGGCAAAAAAACAAGCATTTTTCTAGTTTCAGGACAATAACTTGTGTGTAAGTGTATGGATCTTTCTGAAATTGTACTACAAGGTTCCATATCACAAAGGGAAAGCTGTGTTTGAGTTTGGGGTTAATTGCCCTAAACGTTAAGGAATTTGGGGCCAAAAAACAAGCATTTTTCTAGTTTCCAGACAAAAACTTGTGTTCAAGTGTATGGATCTCTCTGAAATTGTACTACAAGGTACCATACCACAAAGGGAAGGCTGGGATTGAGTTTGGGGTGATGAATCATAAGGGGGTTCAAAAAATATCTGATTTATATATAAAAGCAAATAACAATGATATGGTTTGAATAGGTAAATTTAAAAAAATTTAAGTTCTCAGACCACATTCATTCTGTGTCAGAAACCTATGCTGTGTCAAATATTTAATTACAATCCAAATTCAGTGCTGTGTCAAGCTTGAATGTTGTGTCCATACTTGCCCCAACTGTTCAGGGTTCGACCTCTGCGGTTGTATCAAGCTGTGCCCAGCGGAGCATTTTATTTTCATTATGTAAAGCTCAAGGTTTTGAATATTTTATCATAACCATCAAAATTTACAAATGGAAATATTTTAGGGACCAGGTGAAGACCAAGAAGAAGAGTCAGAAATGTCAGTCACTGCACTTAAAGAACAACGAGAAAAACAAACGAAAGAAGCTGAAGTTTTAAGACATGCAGACATGGCAGCACAAGAAAAAAAGTTAGATGCAATCAGGAAGAAAGAAGATGATGGTGGTTGTTCTTGGGGAATGGGTAAATTTTTAAAAAGTCTACATTTAGAAGTTTTTATAATCTGATAAAAAAACAGATCCTGTGTCCACGCTTTGCTTAAATATCTTTAAATACTCAGTTATACTTCCTGGTTTAAGGATCTTTTCTGATCCTCTGGTTTTGTCTTAATGATACACACCTTAAAAAATTTGGAGATACATGTAGAAATTTAATTGGCAGATGAAATATAATGTAATTACCAGTACAGAAAATAAAACAGGAGTCTTGTCAGATCCTTGTAAGTGTGGATATAGGATCTGGATTTTTTTAATCAGATTTAGGTTTTCATTAGAAGGTGTACTTAGTACGTGTACATAAATCTAATTGCTTATTTGTTAAAGGTGCATTAGCTGTCAAATTCATGTTCACGGATTTGAGTCAAATTCTCATATTTGATTTATAACATACTAAAACGTATATCCAAATTATAAAAAGTCTAAAATAAACAATTTACAATGCATGGGCTCGATAATATGTATCAGCATTTTGTGTGTATTTTAGTCTGTGCGCCATCTAATTAACCACCAAGGTGACCTCCGAAGACTGCCGACGGTCATATAACCTGATATAAACATAAATATAGATATAGATAGATCGCGAACTCGTGCAATTGGATTTTTCTATGGTCTGTTTGATTTCATATAATAGGATAAAAATATATGTTAATCACCATTTTTACCTGTATAAGAATGAGTTTTTGTGGATTGAATCAGTCAATCAAATGGTTTACCCTTGTTTCACTTTCAATGTTGATATTCTTTTCCTTTTAATAACTGAAAACGCTTAATTCATGCATAATCCATCTATAGCTAAGGGGTTTAATTGAAGGTCACATGAATAGGGATTCAATTAGGTGGAATTATTCACTTGCAAGTGAATAATTCATCAGGGATGTTTCTTAGCCTTATTTGACAACATTGAACCAAACTGGCTGCTAAAAGTGAATTATTATTTCACTATTTCACTTTCATTAATGATTGAACAAAACAAATTATATTTTGATTTTTTTTTAAATCTCGTAGCTAATGCCCCTTTAAGTGAAACATGAAGAAAAACTATATCAAATTTCAGGTATCAGCACTTTTGATTCTAGTCTTTTATTGCCTGATTTTGATTGTTTTAGAAAAGGTTAGAGCCAATGGTCAAGTTTTCTTTGAAGTAAAATGGTCTTTTTAATCTTAAGTGTCCATATATCATGTATATTGTCGCAATGCACAAACTGGAATTAACCAAATTAAGCTTACAATCATGACAATAATTCCAGTTGTAAAAAAAACGTATGAATAATGCGCATATTAATTTGTGAATTTACATTATATTTATTATGGTATGTTTACAGCTGATGATGCTATTGAAGATGACAGTACAAATACACCCTCTGAAGAAATCAAGTTAGAAAATGAAGAACTTTATATTGATGATCCTAAGAAGGCTCTGAAAGGATTTTATGAAAGAGAGGGTAAGGTTCACACTACAGACTCAGGGTTTTGTTCTCTTTGATGAAGTTATGGAGGCAAAACTTAGCCAGCTATAGGCATACTTTTTCCCACTGTGGCAGCTCCAACAATTTGGTATATATATGATAATATGTGATTAGGTCAATTTCAGGGGAAACACTAATTGTAGTCAATAATACTTGGTATGCTGTTGTATTAGCATTGGCACAAGTCATTCCCACAGAGATTATTATGCCTTGTACCTTCAGTCATGGTTCATTGACTTTGAATGTTTTGCATAGTTTACATGTTAAAGTATTGCCATTTTGATTTCAACATTTTAGTAATCAAAATTACATATTTGCGAGACAATCTTTGTTTCAACAGTTTATTCAGTTTAAAATCCCTCTTGATGGTGTTGAGTAAAATCATGGTGAGCAGATTTGATAAGAGGTGAAACTGATTTAGAACTTTGTCATAAAACCTCTGATGATTGTTGTAAATTAAGAACTTTTTGAAATGTTGAAATTGAATTTACTAATTTTAAAGATATTACAGAATTAGTATCACATTAAGTAGAAATCACTCTAAATATTCTGTTCACAGTATTTGAATGCAGCATGACCTAAAATTGTTTATGATATCATACTTACACATAAGTTCTGGGTTTACATTATACACAGATATTTCAGAATTACCCCAAATAAGAAGGATTTATTGCAAAAAATCACCTCAACAGTGATTTTTATGCGCCTGCTGGGCCGGAGGGGGTATTAAGTGTTACTCTTGTCTGTCCGTACATCCCAAAATTAGTTTCCGTTCTCTAACTTTTACACAATACTTATTACCACAAAACACAGATCAATTTCGAATTTGTGTTGCGGCACTTTTACCGTTCTTGAGTTATGTCCCTTTATAACCTTAATGCAAGCAGGGGCATCATCTGTGTCCCATGAACACATTCTCCATTTATTTACATGAATAATCTTGTTTGTTCTGTATGTACATAATAAATTCTTAATATGAAGAACTTATTTACAATTTGCATTTCATGAAAAATAAGATGTATGCAGTTTGAAGAAAGATCATTGCATTGTGCAGGCTTTCAAACAATGATCTTCTTACAAGAAAAGGTTTTCCTTTTACAAATATTATTACCATTACGCTAAAAGGCCCTGGGGAGAACACTGACTGTTTGAAACACAGAGTTTCTGTTACAAAATATAAATAAGCCTTTCATTGATAAATTATTGATTGTAAACATTATATACATACAGTACACACAGAGAGTATGTAATCTCATACTCCCTACACTGTGTAAAAACTTGGTGTCACACCAAGAAACTCCAGCAACTCTCTCCAAATCTTGGGAGGAAATTGGGAGAAACTTGGAGTAATTCCTCCCTAAAACTCCTTAATTGTTTATTACCTTGGTGTGGTTTCTCCCAACAACATGATTTTTATTGCTATGATTACCTTTGAAGTGTGCCAGTAGTTGATGACTACAATAAACATTTCTTGTGTTTCCTGTCATTAAATGACAGTCACAAAAATGATGAAAAGTGTGAGATTTGTTAAATTTAATCAGAGACATATTATAATCTGATTTTATTAAAGAATCCTGTACAACTTTATTTATTAAAATTAAATTCAGCATTTGTTCTGACAGTGTTGGTTTTTCATACCTAAGAAACATACAAAAACAAACAAAACATCACCTGTAAGTGGAGTATTATTAATAGAAAATAAAGACATATATTTTAATTGAATTTATTCAATCGTTTTTTTCTAAATTTAAATGATAAGAAATAAAGGAAGATTATATAAATATAATATATATATGTAATTTATCTACATTATTTTATTTAATTCATTATTTTTTTTTGTATCATTACTATTATTTTTTAAACCATGTATATACTAATATCTATATGTTTAAACTGACTATAAATACAACTTATTGTAAATATCAAGTTGCCATTCTTGATTATGAGATTATGAAAGAATGTAAATAATTTTCCAATCTAAAAATACATATTTGTATAAAAATTTTAAAAATAATTTCGTTAACCTTTTTTAGTGCTTTCAGAAATAAAACTAAATAGGAAATGATTGAAATAGGAAGAAGTGAGAGAATAGTTGACCTGTAATTATGTCACTGTCAGACCATGCAGTCGTGCTTTGTTGATTTTTATTACTCTTACCTGCAATCAGCAGGTCATAAAACCCTCCCAGATGGGAGTAATTACTTGGTGTTTTTTGGGAGAGAAATCTGTGTTTCACAGTATGACACTGTGTTACACCAGAATCAGTGTTGGGAGTATGAGATTACATCCTCTCTGTGTGTACTGTACTGCCCTTGGATCAAGATGTTAGGGTAGATTAACAAGAGGGAAAAAATTATCACCCAAGACTATTAAAGTCGCGGGTGATAATTTTATCACCGATTGTGTTAATCACCCTAACACCTTCATCCAAGGGCAGTATGTTTTTTATTATACTGAATACCTTATGATTTAAGTGTGCACTATGTTATTAGAAGGACAATTGTAAAAAAATAAAGTCCTAAATTAAGATAGTTTACAAATAACAACTACAAAACGACGGAAATGTTGTAGAAATAAGAATAGTAAACCTCGGCCGGAGCGGGTGTTTATTGTTCCGGATCGGCAAACTTCGGGCTCAGCGGGTGTTAACTTTAGGCATTAACACCCATTGCTAATATTATCACATGTTGCTATGGGTGGGCGGGCTTATGAAAGGTTAGTGAAAATGAACAAATGCCCAAGTCCAATGAAATGAATGGATGATATAAGAAATTTGCATCAAGTATAATAAAGTATATTATATTTGTAGGTTATGAAGAACCAGAATATATTGTAACAGATGGAGGAAGTGGGAAATACAAATGTGCAGTAGAGTAAGTAAACATATGTGTTATTTTCCTGTTTAATTTTGTTTGTTTGCTGCCTTATTGAAGGTACATGTTGGGGTAAATAAGAAAAATGAAAAACTGGTAAAATTCTATCATCCATGACAAAGAATTTTTTAAATAAAAAAACAGGGGTTAAAAAATTTGTTACAGCTCACTAGCCCAGGATTATTGGTAGCAGGATTTACTAGTCCTGTTGATAGAACTGCCAGCCCAGCAAATCAAACCCAATAGCCCGTACTTCCAACAAATGTTCGAGTCAGCTGGATGTTTTCTTCTGATTCAAATTTCAATCCTGTAAGACTTAGTCACAAAGGCAATCATTGTTAAAATGTTGGCATCATCACAATGTCTGAATAATTGACATTAAAGCGATATTAAACTTCAGAAGACTTTTGATATAATTTTGATTTTCTGATGTAAACTGTTAAATTTATAGTCCACATACGTAATGACTTTATGTTAAAAATTAGTGAACTAAAATCGGCTTAACTCTTTATTAATGCAACATCACGCTGTCAGAACTGTACTTTCTTTTTTGCAAAAAGCATTTTTCCTATTACCGGATGTTGACTTGTCAATGGTAAAACACAGACCAAAGATGGACACAAAACTCTGTGCACGCTGTCAAATTTGTCTATTTAGTTTATGAATTCTTTCCACATTATTTCTTCTTGAAAATACTTGAAATGAACGTTTAGATAAAGGTATCTATGATAATGTTCTCATTTTTGAAGAATTCGGATGCAAAATTAAATCTCGACCTGCACAAAATGCTCACACGTGTATCAGTTTCAACAACGTAGTTCCGTCGAATTTTCATTTCAATTTTTTTGTTGACTTTTTTGTAATTGATCATTAATTTAGAATTTTATGTTAATGTGTATTTCTGAAAGGCTAAATCATTCTAACAAGTAACAGTTCACATCAATCAATGCATCAAAACACCCAGTACCGTTAATTGAAAGTCTCGGCTTGAACAATGTATAATACGCTAATGATAAGTACGAAAAAAATCGATAATGATAGTACAGGAATTGCAATCAATACATGATACCGGTCCACCCAGAGTCATTTGTTCTATTTTTTAAAACATACAAAATCAGTTCGAATTCTTGGAATCCCGTATGACGTAATTGAATTTGATTGGCTAAGATAGAATAGAGATGAAGGGATTTTCCACTTTGTATTTTGGAAATGCCAAGAATTTTTTTGTTGCTAGTCCGTCTGGCATATTTGGTTACAAGTTTTGATTGCCCGAGGTGTAAGTGCTCTAGTCCCGGGCGTCGGGCTAGTGGATTTCTTAACCCTTGATAAATTAAGGAATAATGTATATGGGATGGAATGCTTGATTGCTTATTGCCTCATTTCTGATTAAAAATATTTTATGCATTTTCAATAAAGATGAGAACATGTTAACAATCTCCTGAAAGTAATTGAAATGTTTAGTGACCTTGAGAAGAGATGGATAGTTTGAAAGCAGCAACTTTTGAATTGAAGTGTTTTCTGAAGGATATTATGTTTTGTAGAAGAACAAATCGTCTGGTAATTGCTTTTATTGCTGTATTTTTTTTTTAAAGTAGAACGTAGTTTTGTCAGATCTATGTAAATTTTCTTGGAATGCTGCAATTGAGATTCCTTGGTTATTTAACCTATTAAATGGCATCAAAATGAATATGACTTTATTTACTTAGTCCAGAAAAAAAAATTAGGGTGGGGGTGGCCATCACTAATACAATTGCATTTTACTTCACATACATAACCACACAATTTAAAATTTGTGACCTGCCCCAACCAATACAAAAATAATTTAAGTGCCTTCCAACCCTTCAATTATTTTTCTGGAATAGCCCTTATTATTCATTAGTTATATTATTTTATCATAGGTTACCAGTAGATGGACCGAACGGGGAACCAGTAATTGCTGAGGCTATTGTCTCTGGTAAGAAGAAGGAAGCAGTACTACAATGTGCTTTAGAAGGATGTAGGATATTGGATAGAATGAACTTGTTACGAGCATCTACGCATGGTAAATATAACTAAAAAATAGGGGGTTAACTTCATCTAGGAAATAATTCAGCCGCATTCTGGAAGAAAAAAATAATGTTGAGGTCAAAATATATTGTTCATGATAGACAAGTTCCATACTATTTATATCAAGCTCTGAATCTAAATGAGCCTTGTTAAGTTGCATAATTATAACACTAGGGACCATTAGAGATCTGCTATCAGCACCAATGGGTCTGTTCATAAAAAAATATGACAAGAAGAAAAAATAATGCAGAGGTCAACATATATTGTTTTTGATAGATAAGTGACCATGCTATACTGTAAATTCAGAAATTATTGCGTGCACTTATTATTATGAACAAAAATGCGAGATTAATTATTGCGATGTCTGGAAAAGCTGCATACAGATATATGTATCAAATATCATAATGTGGGTTCTAATTATTGCGATAATCAACCAGTCGCATTATTCGCATTAATAAAAATATCGCAATAATTTCTGAATTTATTATATGTCAAGCTGTGGATCTAATTGAGGGCTGTCAAGTTTCAGATTAATTACACTAGTGACCATTACAGATTTTCCATCAGTACCAATGGGTCTGTTCATAAAAAAATATGTCAAGAAGGAAAAATTTACAAGTTATGAATGTTTTAGTGTAACATACAATCAATTTAGTCCTAAGATTTTCATGAAAAGAGCCCTGAGTTATCAAATGCCATAATCAGTAAGAATACTTTGTAATTGAAATTCAGCAATGTAATTAAAATTTGATAGTTTATGTATTTTTACCATCTAATTTGGTACATACATGACATATGAAAACATCTGACAGAAGAAAACTAGACTACATGTATCACTAGTGACCAGTCAAATTGATACAGTACGCACAGAGAGTTTGTAATCGCGAACTCTAATCACGGATTTCAGAGTGTAGTGGTGTCACACCGCGAATCACGGATTATACTCCCAATTTCCTCCAAAGATTCTCTCCCAACACCGCGTGGCTGTTAATTGGTTTATTGCCCATCGGATGTACTGAAAATGAATGACGCGTGACAACATAATCGGATTAGCCAGATTTATTACCTTTGTACATTTAATCGATCTTGATTGCACCTGTGTGCTTTAAAACACGGTATTAAAATTTCCTTTCTTTGACAGATAAAAATGTGACATTTTCATTCAAAATAAGATAATTATTCTTGTATGTATTTGCCCCATGTCATTGTCATTTGAAATAAAACGTACAAACGTATAAAAATACGAATAAAACACTTATTTTGTATTTTTATTATAGTCCGGTCAGGTCATATTTTTTTGTTTTTTCAACAAAGACGATTTTACTACAATTAGAATCTTTTATGACCTACTCAGTGAGCAATATCCGGTTCATTAATTGTTCAATATATAAATATCAACTGGCTTAAAACAAAATGATGTTTTTACAGTAATTTGTCCAATCTAAACCCAAGAGTTAATTTATCGGATCAACAAGTGAACTCTGTTACTTTCAATTTATTTTGCAATGTAAAATATTATGTTTCACTACCTCGGTAGATTACCGACTTGAAATATTTGAACTCAGAAAAGAAACTGTAAAGTGACAACTCTGTTGAACGAAGGGAAAACGTTTTGTATGCAATGTGCCCTATATTCATAAAAACACAACACTGAGAGACATTCCACGCCCAGACACAACACAATAATCACAACCTAATTTAATTATATGAAGAAAAAAAATCATGTGTTGTTTATCTCTGTTATGATCTGTTATTGATCCTTTATTATTTAAAATAAAATTGGATGGGCGCAATCCGTATTTTACTGCTCGTTAAAAGTCCTTGGCGAAATAAAAAAAAGAAGTATTTCAACAATTAATACTATAGAATATTTAAATGAAATTATATCGTGTTCTACAAGAAAGAAATATGTGAAAAAAAAGTGGATCGGATTTTTACGATCTACACATTTTCACAGAGGATCTCTACCAAAGCCCAACAGGAACTGAACGACATGCATCCTGTTTTCATCTACCATTTATGTATATTGTTGACCATGGACGTATAAATAATGTCCAGGTTTATGACCTGTGTTGACTGAGAAACGTAAAATTAAAAGGCTGGTGTTCGTTTATTCAGAAAAGGATTATATTTTAGATTCCGGTTAATCAATTGTAAAAGGACCTTCTAGAGCCTCAATCTTAAGGCATACAAATGTCAATCATTCCAAAGCAAATTTAAGCCCCGAATGAATTTTCCCACGGTCATCCAGAAAGGTCACCTGAGTTTACTGTTACGTGATAATATTTCCCGCCAAATAAAAATCTCGTGGACAAAATTGATGTCACTATTTTTAGCATTCAATATTGTGAGCGAAGTCAAGTTCAAAGTTCAACCACAGACTGTTGATCACTGAGATGTGTATCGTCTTCCCACGGCAATTAATTTCTTTTAAAAATTTTTAAAATCACTGTCCTTTATGTAAAAGCCTGTTTTCCTCAGGCTTTTAGTGATAAATAACTAACTTCAATCTAGGGTTCTGTAACTTTTATTTCTCAGACGAAAACGAAGTTACTATATGAATATGTAAATACAGCCCTGTAAAATATAAATGTACTTATAAGTTACAGATAGATAAATCTGTTTACTAAGTAATAATTAAAACTAATGTTCGTAATTAATTATCATGCAAACTTATTTAGCTGCATACTTATGTATCTAGTCACAAAAATATATACTGTGGATACAATTGCCATTACTTGTCTCAATTACAGTTATACCAATTAGACTTAGATATAATAGTACATGTTCTCATATGCTGTCTCATACCAATGTCTATTATAAATATTACTTGTGTTGGTAACATAAACTACACAAAAACGTAAGCTGCGTGCTTGGTTAAATCAAAAAGCAAATAAGCACAAAAAGTAACAATATAGCAAAGCAAATATTAAAAACTAAAGCTAAGCGAAACAAGAATACAAATACACTTAGCTTACCTCACATATCGTGCAAGTAAATAAAAATATACAAAATACATAAAATAACAGGCTATCACATTTATACAACACACAAGTTTACATTCATTGTGCGTAAATGAATATTATGCAACGACGAGTTGATGCAGCTATAGAAGTATTCCTGTTGTAGCCGAAATGTAATTATTTATCCTAAAGTAATGCCAACAAATCGTAAAGAGAAAATGCCGTAGACTTATTAAGCATAACAAATGGTGAATAATATTTTCTTTTTTACTTGCATATACAAATTTTGAGACACGTAATTTTCTTTAAACTGCTCACTTTTATATTCAGCGTTAGTTTCCGTTTATTTTTACGCAAGTATGTCTCTTTTCGTAAATAAAATAATTTACCGATGAACTTAAACAAGGTCAAAATCAAGTATAGTTTTTGTTATAAAACTTTTATGCAATTGAAAGAATTAACAACAACATTCTGCTTTTAAATCTTTAATTTGTTTCAAGCAATTATGTAATCGTAAAATGACAATGGCGTGGACTTATTAGCATAACGAATAGTGAATAATATTTTCTTTTTTACTTGTATACAAAACTTTGAGACATGTAATTTTCCTTTAAACTGCCCACATTTATTCAGCGTAAGTCTCCGTTTATTTTTACACAAGTATATCTCTTTTGTAAATTAAATATTAATTTACTGACCAGAAAAAAAACGAGGTAAAACTCAAATATAGTTTTTTTTAATAAAACTATTTTTAAATGTACAGTGTAATTGAAAGAATTAACAACAACGTTTGCTTTTAAATCTTTTATTTGTTTCAAGCAATCAGAAATATAACCTGATTATCAATAGACAGGAAATACAATTGTTTAATTACATAAGTAATCTCACATACCTTGACTGTCATGTGCCGGTATAGATCAGAAGGATTAGGGCAATTAATTACCTGGTGTGACACCGCGTCACACCGGATGTCGCTAATACAATAAACAAAAGGTAGCGATTTTACGCGGAAGTCGGAGGGAATACTCCCAAATTTCTCCGAGAATTTAGGGAGGGATGTCGGAGTTTCCTGGTGTCACACCAAGAAAAAACTTGGTGTTCGGAGTTTGGGAAGCCTTTCACGAAATTTGTACTGTATACACTTAAGTTAACCCTATTGTTAAGTAAATCAGATCTCACGACTTGCATTTGTTTGTTCATGAAATTCAAATCAATAATTTAAAGAGTATATGCATCCATTGTTCTTAATAGAAAGCAGGAAGAGAAAAAAGAAGAATTGGGAAGATGATGATTTCTATGATAGTGATGAAGACTTGTACCTAGACAGAACAGGAGATATAGAGAAGAAAAGAAAACAGAGAATGAAAAAAGCAGGAAAAGTAGAACAAAAAACAGAAACATATAAAAGTTTGGTTAGTAGTTCCTGCCCTTACCTTCAATTATAAATAGTTTTTTACTGTAAATGTTTTCAGATATAAAAAAAAGGGAGTGTTAATTTCAATCTGATTAAAATACATTTCCTGTGTTCAAGCTTTGCTTACATGGATCTGACAACACTCCGGTTTACTTTCTGTTCTGGTAAATACTACATCAGCCAATGAAATTTCAGCCTTCAAATTTTTGATGGTGAGTTTTAATCCAACAAAACCAGAGGATATCGAAAGGTCTTTAAAACAGAAAGTAGAGTGGAGTGTTATCAGATCCTTGTAAGTAAAGCTTGGACACTGGATCTGTGTTTTAATCAGATTGTGTTAATTTCAAATTGGTCCTTTTGAGATAAATGCACACTGACCATTTTGCCTGAATAAATGATTCAAAATATAAAAAAAAGAAGCAATAAGACTTATAGCCTGAAGCTGAGTGGTTTTCTGTTCTTCTCTTTATTATTTTTAATTTTTTTGTCTATTCATCATATTGAATTTGAATAAGGTTATTTTATATTATATTCTTTAGGTGGAAAAGCATGATGCAATCGCTAAAGAAATACAAGAAATTGAAGCAAAGCTAGAAAAAGCAAAATCAGGTAACATTAATAAAGTATTGTATCCAATTTGAATTTGTTGTTTCATTTTCAATATTTACCCTGTAATTTTGTCAATTTGAGCTTCTGATTTTTTTATTTATTTTGAACTCTTCCATTAACATTGATGTGGGAGTCTTTTGCATAAATCAAATGGACCTACAACCTTTAATAAAAACTCACAACCCATATAAAGAAAAACCTTTATTTTCTTGAAATCCTGAATGGAGTTCCTGTTGGTAGATTTTATGTTTTTTTTATTACATTTTAGAATCTCTGGAAAAATGTTCACTCTTTTTGTTGTAATGTTTTTGAAAAAAACCTGTCTGTTTTGTATATGTAATGTAGATGTACAATACTGAAAATCACTGTCTGTTTTGTATATGTAATGTAGATGTACAATACTGAAAGTCATTAACAACACAGCACCTTGATCACACAGTATGGTCAGGGGTATTCCAAAATTAAACACCTGTGGTCATGGGAATCACATTTTTAAGTCCCCAACCAACCATAAAATAGAATTTTCGGTTTATTTATAATGCGTAGAAAATTCTAAGAAAATAATCACTAACAATTTATTAATTTGACTGCCTCCTATATCCCCACCATGATAAATTTTTGAACAGCCCTCTTCAGAATTTAGTATTTGTCAATTATGGTAAAATATTTCAAATTCAAAATTACGATTTAAACGTAATATCTTCTTAAAAAAAGAGGGAAGGTGTTTAGAGGGTAACCTAATTTCATAGTTCCAATAAAATCAGACAACACCACGGTCAAAAATAAAAACGATGAAACGACGATCAACAATAACAAAACATTACACAAATAAGTAAAGATTGAGCAACACCAACAGTGTTCTCCCAAGAATTTTCAAATAGCACCGTGGAAATTAACATTACACTGGTTTGCCAAAAAATATAGCACCATGGCCCTATACATTCTATTACAAAATCATCCAAGATAGCACCATGGTAGAAAATATAGCACCAGGGTACCACAGTGCTTTAAGGCCCTGGGGAGAACACTGACCAACCCAACAAAACACCTGGGGTAAATTCAGATGCTCCGGAAGGGTACAAATTGATAGTAGTCCTTTTCATTATTATTAACATTACCATGTCCACCTTTGATCATTATGATAATCCAGTTTTACATTACATGTATTATCTGAAAATTTTTTTAGGATTTCCCCTACCAAAACAAGGACTTGACCATATCTGCAAAAGGACGTGACATCTTGGATCTGCAGCTCCCTGTCAATCATTAATTGGATAACGACAATTTTACAGACTCTTTCTTACATATTGCATGCCATTTTGATCTTTTATTTATTTTTTTGAATCTAAATGATTTTGGGAGTTTTTAATAGAAAGACTTGAAATTTGCAACAACAATACTCATTTAAAGAGGTATGATTTTCTCACATTTACCTGATTATATTAGTTCTTTATTTATTAAGTTTATATATTGTAATGCGAGATTCTATATTTAGATGCAGCAGCCATGGACAATGATGACCTTGATGCACTAGATGCATACATGATGGCAATTAAGTCTGGAGTAATGGATACAAAAACTAAAATGGCATTGAAAAGACAATTGATGGAACTTAAACAGGAAGAAATGAAAATCAGAAAACTTGTCAATATTGCTAAACCTGCATCATTACCAGAACTAAAAAGGTATGGTCACATGATCATCAAATTTGTGAATGATTTATCGACATGTAAAATGACGAACTTCATTCACGTTTGTTTTGCATTCAATTGATGCAATACTGTAAATTCAGAAATGATTGCAATGTTTTTATTAATGCCAAAAATGAATCAGTATCAGGTTTTCAATAATAATTACTTGCATTCATAAATGTTTGCAAAAATCAATACTTACTTTCATAATTTCAGAAGTGATTTTCATAAAACAATGTTTGCAGTAGCATTAATTAGATCTTGTATTTTTACCTTAATCAGTTATTCGCAATAATAAGAGCATGCTTTAATTTCTGAATTCACAGTACAATACATTTTAAGGCTTGTTGTTGTTGTATCAAGATTATCCATTTTAAATTTTAGTTCTGAAAGCAACTATCGTGAAAAAGTCAATTCATGTCATTGATAATTAGACCTCCTTTTGACCACTACAGTTTAACAACACTATGTTAAGTTTTTGAGTCTATTGACCACTACAGTTTAGGTAAGTTTTGTAAGAATCAGGCAATTTTAAAAAAAAATCAAAACATGGCAGAAAAAGAACCCAATGACCTCACCATTCTATTTTGAAGTTACCCTCATCCTGAGTTAGAAATGGTAGATCTTTCATTTCTGCTTATCTGGTAATTCGAGAAATCTCTAGATAGCTTTTGGTTAGAATGATAGCAAGTTACTAAGTTAGCTCCACTTAATTGTTAATTTCTAGTGCATTTCAACCAAATTATATCTTGAATTATCATAACAGGAAAAGGAAACGAATGTTATGTTCGTTCACCATTTTATATTTTGAACATAAATTAATGTCAACTTGAGTGGGTTTTTGTTTGTCATGTTTTCATTACTGCCTGATTCTTAGGCAGATTGGCACTTAACAGTTTGAGTGATGCTCTGTTCATTTGTAAAACTAACAATGCAGTCTACATGTATCTACTGGTCTGTGGCAGAATTTGGTATTTGCTCATAGAAAGATACACTAGTATTATTATCTGGGCATCTTAATCAGTAAAGTTAAATATCATTGAAATGAATTTGAAAAAAAGACTATATAACAAGTATAAAAACAACAAAATAAAAAAAAATATATATAGAGCGTTTATAATTATTTCAAGCTGCATTATACATGCAAATTTTTTTTCCGGGATTAGGAAAACAGTTTGATATTTTGTGGGTTTTTTTCAGTCCTCAGATTGTACCTAAAGCACTAGTACCTGGAGTACAGATTAAACTTCCAGTTATTGGTAAAATCAAGTCACATAAAACGCAGAAGAGACCATTGGTTGTAAGTATTGATTTTGTGGTACAAACTTAAGAAGACAGTAGTATGAAGTTAAACAGATTCAGAATGTTGTTGGCATGACATAAAGCCAATGCATTATGAGTAAAATGCAAACTTTTTGTTTATAATTTGCTCATGTATGAGACATTGCAATCAATGTTTTGTTCACACACAAAAAGTTACCAAGCAGCATTTTTTTCCCTTTTGCCAATGAGACAACTATTCACCAAAGTTTGAATGAAGTGGATGTAAGCAATTATGGGCAACCGCACAGCCGTCAACAATGAGAAAAACCTATACCGTATAGTCGGCTATAAAAGGCCCCAACATGAAAAATATGAAATAATTCAACTGAGAAAACTAATGGCCTAATTTATAACAAAACAATTTAGGAAAAACAAATATGACAGACATGAACCAATGACAACAACTAAACTACAGACTCCTGACTTGGGACAGGCACATAAACAATGTGTCAGGGTTAAACATGTTTGTGAGCGCTCAACCCTCCCCATACCTGGGACAGTGGTGTTACAGCCCAACAGTTGAAATCGATCGATACAGAAAAGCATCTAAGAAAAACACAGACCGGACGTAGCAGGGTGTTTTTACATTCCTAACAACAAAAAAGACACAAAGTACACATCTGAGAGTACTCACGCTTACGGAGAGCTAATTCAAAGCCAATAACAACTAATAAAAAAAAATCTTGTATCTAAGATTTGAAATTATTCCATGTAAAAACAACCTGCACTATAAACTGATATTGTTATTCAGGTTCTGGTTGAGACTGAAAATAAATATTGCCCCTAAATAATAGATTATTAGATCAATGCATCAGTCTGTAAATTGTATCTTTGATAATAAAAGGAGTGTATTGAGGATGAACATAAATAATTTGTTCATTTGAAAAGAAAAAAAAAATGAAAAAAAGAGATGAAAGAGATATCGATGGGACAAATAAACTCGCAGAGAAACCTGCAACGCCAAAGCAAAAATAAAAAGCAAAAATGTCCCTCAAAATGCTAAATGCGAAAAACTACTAGTTTACCTGCCATGAGCATCATAAAAGGTGCCACTGGTGGAGAAGGACTGCTTACCTTCTCATGCACCTTAGTTCAACTCTCGTTTCTGGTCGGGTCTAAAGTTTTAATCCATTAATGGTGTTATCTTTTTCTTATTTCAACTTGAAGTTATGTTCTTGTCATTTTATATATTACAGCCATCAAGACCAGTAAAAGAAATCAAGGAAACAGGGGAAAAAGATTTTGTTGAGGAAGAAGAAGAAGATGAAGATGTTGAACCAAGTGCTATAGTCCCTCATGAAGATCCTACATCAAGACTTCAAGAAGATACAGACGACACCAAAACTACTAAGGATAAATCACATAATTCTTTTCAAAAAGACAATAAAATAAAACAAAATGATAGGGAACAGGAAGCAATGGAAATTTCACAGGAATCTAGAGAAGAGGTCGCATCAAGGTTAAAAGATCCATCTTCAGGGGGAGATAATCCAAAATTTACAAACATGGGAGATAATGACATGAATGCATTGCAATCTAAACAGAAACAGACCAAAGATAAACAGAAGAAAAAATACCCAAAACAGCAGCCCATAAATACTGAAGTAAGTTGCTAATCTCATAAATGAAGATAAATTATATTCAGTAGTCAATATGTGTTATACTAGCAATTATTTCAAACTGTCACGATTATAAAAACATATTAATCCTTATCCCATCACTTTCTATACAGAGAATAATGTATAAAAAAAGTCATTTTAGTGACCTGGTGGCTATGGTTTGTTTATAGCTTTTCTACATTAGCATAGTCAACAAAAGTTTGGATAGTTTGCAAGCTCAGTTTTTTTCTGAAGTAAATTATACCAAACGGGTAAAAGTAAATAAGTTATATCTTTAAAATGAACAATATTTCAATCATCCAACTACGCTTTGTTTTAGAGGTTTCACAAATGAACAAACATCATATCATGTGCATTAAATGTTTACAAATTAGGAAAGCTACAATAGTTCTTTAATATTAGTTAGAGAAATAATGTTTAATTTTTTTATTAACAGGGGAAGATAACTGGTGACTATAATTCTACAGACCCAGATTATGCTGTGTGGGTGCCTCCATCAGGTAAATGTTTTATTGTACTGTTATTTTGGCTGTCTATTCTCAATTATTTTGATGAAACCCATTTTACTTTCTTTGGTAAATTTTTCATAAAAAAAATTACTGTTTTGGAAAGAGATTAATCTTTATTTTAAACGCCTGCTTACACTTGGTATAAAAGATATGTTGAATATACTAATACCTATGTTAAAATGAGCATACATGTAGATCATGTCATGGAAGAACTATTTCTTAAATAGATTCAATGCAGAAAACACTAGCATCAAAAATTAGATGCATTCCTTAAAATCAATTTTCAGAAACTGACAAAAATTGTATTGAATAAGAACCCCCTTTAGACACTCTTCTTATGATTGTTGAATCGGTGTCTTTTTTATACATTGTATTATGTAAAATTAGATCCATACAATTGATTACATCGATATTTTTTTAAGGCAAATTCTATAAATTGGTTAATTTTTCACAGAGATTAAATTTTGCTGTTTCAAAGGCACAACATGTTGGTATAAGTTTAATTGTGGTGTTTTTCTTATTGCTGACTCTTTACTGCCTTTGAGATCAATTTTACAAGAGATGATATTTTTTCTAACTGTTAATTCAAAAGATTAATGAAAAATTGACCACTCACAAAAATTTAACTTTATAGTAATAACAGAGTGGATTCCTTACAACATGTACTGATAGATTATCGTTGGTTATCTCAACGAGATCGATTTTCTCGCTTGAGCCGGTATGGCGAAAGCGAGAAAAGCAATTGAGTTGTGATGACCAATGATAATCTGTTTATCGCTATTTTACCTATGAAGACGTTGTTAATTTTTTATTGACAATGGCACGTGTTCCCTTAGTTTCTAGCAGTAATTTTCATATCACTCGACTCCGTTTTCATATCACTCGATCAACTCGGTTTTCATATCACTCGACTCCCCTGAGAAAGGAAATTATCAGTCAGCAAGATCAAAGGAAAAATTCGTAAAATAGAGATAAAAGTACTTCTATAAAAATGAAAGTGGTTTAAAATGTTTGTTTCTTAGGTTTCCTAAAAGAGATTGATTTTGTTACTATATTTTCTGTGACTATTCTGAACTGTAGATACCAATGAATTATATTTATTTGGGACATGATGAACAGGATTCTTAAAATTTACAATTATTTCTTTTTCAGATCAATCAGGAGACGGAAAAACAAGCTTAAATGCAAAGTTGGGTTACTGACATTTGTTATTAATAATTAATAAATATTTTTGTAAAATATATGATTTATTATATTGCTTAAGAAATGTTATGGTGGAGCCTTTTATTTGCTCAAGATTTTAGTACAAGCTGGCTTTATTTCAGCCACATCATTGCAATAGATATACAGATTACATAGAATTGCATACTTTTTGTGTTATGTAAAATTATATAGCTTTTTAAAGACATATCAGAAAAATTTGATTAATGTCTTAAAAATGTAGCTGATTGAATGAACATATGAAAAATATATCTACCTTTAAAGAGCTTATTGTACAAAAAAAAAGATGTTTCTGTTACCAGATAAAATATTTTGGGTCAAATTTCAGGTCTGTACCATAAGGTCACATCAAATTAAATCTTGTTCCTAGGAATTGCTGCTCCAAATTTTCCAATTTTGTTTGTTGTTTTTTGTCGAGCCTGCGACTTTTGTCGCAGAAAGCTCGACATAGGGATAGCGATCCGGCGGCGGCGGCGTTAGCTAAGTTCTTAAAAGCTTTATATTTTAGAAGATGGAAGACCTGGATGCTTCATACTTTGTATATGGATGCCTCATGTTACAAAGTTTCCGTCAGTCACATGTCCAATGTCCTTGACCTCATTTTCATGGTTCAGTGACTACTTGAAAAAAAAGTTCAGATTTTTTGTAATGTTAAATTCTCTCTTATTATAAGTAATAGGATAACTATATTTGGTATGTGCGTACCTTGCAAGGTCCTCATACCCGTCAGACAGTTTTCACTTGACCTCGACCTCATTTCATGGATCAGTGAACAAGGTTAAGTTTTCGTGGTCAAGTCCATATCTCAGATACTATAAGCAATAGGTCTAGTATATTCGGTGTATGGAAGGACTGTAAGGTGTACATGTCCAACTGGCAGGTGTCATCTGACCTTGACCTCATTTTCATGGTTCAGTGGTTATAGTTAAGTTTTTGTGTTTTGGTCTGTTTTTCTTATACTGTATGCAATAGGTCTACTATATTTGGTGTATGGAATGATTGTAAGGTGTACATGTCTAGCTGGCAGGTGTCATCTTACCTTGACCTCATTTTCATGGTTCAGTGGTCAAAGTTAAGTTTTTGAGTTTGGGTCTTTTTTTCTAATACTATATGCAATAGTTCAACTATATTTGGTGTATGGAAATATTTTATGATCTATATGTCAGTCACGCAGGTTTTATTTGACCTTGACCTCATTTTCAAGGTTCATTGCTCAGTGTTAAGTTTTTGTGTTTTGGTCTGTTTTTCTTAAACTATAAGCAATAGGTCAACTATATTTGTTGTATGGAAGAATTGTTAGCTGTACATGCCTGCCTAGCATGGTTCATCTGACCTTGACCTCATTTTCATGGTTCATTGGTCAATGTTTAGTTTACTTGGTTAATGTTAAGTTTATGTGACAGTTGTAATAAAGCTTTATATTTAGGACTATCAACATAATATCAATGATTAGTAAAGAAGGCGAGACATTCCAGCGTGTGCACTCTTGTTTTTATTTTGGTGGCAATTTTTTCGGGGCCCACATTGTTTGTTGATGGAATTGTTATCAGAATGTTACTGGTATATTTCAGATTTTTTAGTTGACAGTATACAAATTTGACTCAAATAGTAAGTTTTATCAACTCTGTCACTATATATATTTTTTTTTGGGAGGGGAGGGGGGGGGGGGGGGGGGGGAGGCAAAATTCAAATGTCCTGCGGATAAACACCATATTTTGTATGCAGACCATGACAAGTTTAGATTTTGTGTACTGTTTTAAAAAATTATTGTAAAACAATGAGACATGCAGTGTTCTCCCAAGGGCCTTTTAGCTTCATGGTAATGTGATGCTATAATCTTAAATGTGATGCTATCTGAAGTGGTTTTTGTCGAGCCTGCGATTTTGTCGCAGAAAGCTCGACATAGGGATAGTGATCCGGCGGCAGCAGCGTTAGCTAACTTCTTAAAAGCTTTATATTTTAGAAGCTAGAAGACCTGGATGCTTCATACTGTGTATATAGATGCCATATGTTACGAAGTTTTCGTCTGTCATATGTCCATTGTCCTTGACCTCATTTTCATGGTTCAGTGACTACTTGAAAAAAAAGTCAACATGTTTTGTAATGTTAATTTCTTTCTTATTATGAGTAATAGGATAACTATATTTAGTATGTGCGTACCTTGCAAGGTCCTCATGCCCGTCAGACAATTTTCATTTGACCTCAACCTCATTTCATGGATCAGTGAACAAGGTTAAGTTTTCATGGTCAAGTCCATATATCAGATACCGGTACTATAAGCAGTAGGTCTACTATATTTGGTATATGGAATGATTGTAAGGTGTTCATGAACTTCATGTCCAACTGGTAGGTGTCATCTTACCTTGACCTCATTTTCATGGTTCAGTGGTCAAAGTTAAGTTTTCTTGTTTAAGACTGTTTCTTAGAAACAATAAGCAATAGGTCAACTATGTTTGGTTTATTGAATGATTGTAAGGTGTACATGTATTTCTCGTTTGGTTTATCTGATCTTGACCTCATTTTCTTGGATCATGTTAAGTTTATGTGTTACTTGTAGTAAAGCTTTGTATTTAGGACTATCAACATAAAATCAATGGTTAGTAAAGAAGGCGAGACATTTCAGCGTGTGCACTCTTGTCTTATAGATTGTGTTATGGATGTGATGCTATAATTTTTAGAAACAAGATGGTATTTCAAATTCCCCTGTTTACCAGGATGCTAAATGAAATATCTGGGGAGAACACTGACATGGTTGAATGCTGATGTTGATGACAATTTCAATGTCAGATGTGATGTATGGAAATGGAGTTGTTGTAGGTGTATAAGGTAATAAAGAATGCTGCTTTATTATAAACATTTAGAAATTTTTGAGCTGATTAAGGGTATAGGATACAGTTACAGGGGAGGTAATGACGTCTCTAACATAAAATGTCATTTTACGCAGCAACGTCAAACTGTGACATATTAGGAAAAGATGCATTTTCAACTGATTTTAATTGTCATTTGAGTTTCCCTTGTTTGATTGGAATGAAACTTATAAAGATGGAAGATATAGAGAAAGGGAGGAATCCTTTGAAATTTGTTTAGGGGTCGAGGATACTGCTACCTGGGACTATTATACTAACAATATATTATGTCCCAGCTGCTACCAACAATAGATTTTTTATGTTGGTTTTGTGGATGGTATCCCATTATGAATTGTTGGGCTTTAATAAAGATGAAAAATTAGCAGTAATAGTACATGTTTATTTGTCCCTCCAACCATACTAGTGTTGATAACCCTTGAATGTGTATTCAGGGAGCATGTGTCTCTGGTTGATTGTACACTTTTTTGAGTTGTTTATTTGTTTGTTTCATAGTACTAGTTTTCCCCTGATTTGGGAAAAGATGACTTTCAAGCCATTTGTGTAAAATACCAAAGGTTCAAGTTCCATCCAATGTTCGCACAGCTACCATTCTGTGTTTCGTCTTATTGCAAATTATTTGAATTATCTCCCTTTACAAACTCAACACTTATTTAATAATTTATTTAAGATTTAAAAAAATGTTGAGAGTAAATATTTTTTTTTGTTTATTTATCAGTTATATTATTTTTATTACAATTTAGAACATTTAAAGTTTATAACTGTAAATTAACAAATAGTTTCTTACTTAAGAATGTTACTTTTAAAAGAGAGGCAAAAGATACCAAAGGGACATTCAAACTCATAAGTAAAAAAAAAACTGACAACGTCATGACAAAAAAACACACAAAAAGACAAACAACAGAACACAAAACTCAACATAGGAAACTAAAGACTGAGCAACACGAACCTTACCAAAAACTGGAGGTGATCTCCGGTGCTTCGGAAGGATAAGCAGATCCTGCTCCACGTGGTACCCATGGTGTTGCTCTCGTGAGTACAAACCAGGTGATAAGTCTTAATTCAGTATTTCACATTTGAGGAAAAGAGGACGGGATCGTGGTTACGACAATTGGAACATATCCCTTATCATCTGTGAATCAGATATTCCATAATGGTCAACCAACTTGTAATTGCGTCCGTAAAATTTACGAAGGGATGATTTCAACTTCACCACTTGGAATTCTTGGTTGATAGCTTCCTTTTGAGCAGCAACCATCTATCAAGGAAATCATGAAAGGAAATATAAACCTTGGAATATTGTATCAATTGGGAGATATATACCCCATATGCAGTCGCTGCTGGAATGTTGCTACATAGAAATGGAAAGTTCACAATTGGGAAGCTGAAATCATCTCTTTTGTTGAAAGTTTTGTTTTCAACCAACCCTCATTGTCAATTTCTAGATGCAAGTCAAGATATGAGGCAGACTTAACTGCATCTGATGTGTCCTTTATTAAGTCTCCCAAACGAAGTTTGGGAAGACTTATTGTTTTTGCTCAGTTCTTATTATTATTATTATTCTTCTTCCTCTTCCTCTTCCGCCGCTTTTAAATTTGAACTTGTCCGCACCCGTTCTCCAAAACCGCTTGTCAGATTAACTTAGGGTTTCACAATATGTTAGACTAACATGTCTAGTGGTGCAATCAGGGTTTTGTTTGTGCAATGGGGTTTATAAAGGGGTACTTTGAGGGGCAAAAAGAAAAGAGGGTTTTACTATAGAACCCTATGGGATATTATTTTTTAAAATTTTCAAATGATTATAAATTGAAAACCGTTTGTGATAGACACAATCTTTTTAATTGAAAATGTTCCAAATGATAAAACCCATTAAATGAAATACAGGGTTAGTCCCCAGGGGTCATCCCCACCCCCTGCCATTTAAGAAAGTTCTAATACCTTGTAAGTGGTCAAGATCCCCACCCCTAAACCATATATATTCTGGTTTGTCATACTAAGATAATTTGAATGATATACAGGGTTAGTCCCCAGGGGTCATCCCAACCCCCTGCCATTTGAGAAAGTTCTAATATCTTGTAAATGGTCGAGATCCCCACCCCTAAACCATATATATTCTGGTTTGTCGTGATAAAGCACATGAAATGAAATACAGGGTTACTCCCCAGGGGTCACCCCCACCCCATGCCATTTAAGAAAGTTCTAATATCTTGTAAGTGGTCAAGATCCCCACCCCTCAACCATATATATTCTGGTTTGTCATGCTAAGATGGTTTGAATAATATACAGGGTTAGTCCCCAGGGGTCATCCCGACCCCCTGCCATTTGAGAAAGTTCTAATATCTTGTAAATGGTCGAGATCCCTACCCCTAAACCATATATATTCTGGTTTGTCATGATAAAGCACATGAAATGAAATACAGGGTTTGTCCCCAGCGGTCAAACCCACCCCATGCCATTTAAGAAAGTTCTAATATCTTGTAAGTGGTCAAGATCCCCACCCCTAAACCATATATATTCTGGTTTGTCATGCTAAGATGGTTTGAATGATATACAGGGTTAGTCCCCAGGGGTCATCCCGACCCCCTGCCATTTGAGAAAGTTCTAATATCTTGTAAATGGTCGAGATCCCAACCCCTAAACCATATATATTCTTGTTTGTCATGATAAAGCACATGAAATGAAATACAGGGTTAGTCCCCAGGGGTCACCCCCACCCCATGCCATTTAAGAAAGTTCTAATATCTTGTAAGTGGTCAAGATCCCCACCCCTAAACCATATATATTCTGGTTTGTCATGCTAAGATTGTTTGAATGATATACAGGGTTAGTCCCCAGGGGTCATCCCGACCCCCTGCCATTTGAGAAAGTTCTAATATCTTGTAAATGGTCGAGATCCCCACCCCTAAACCATATATATTCTGGTTTGTCATGCCAAGATGATTTGAATGATATACAGGGTTAGTCCCCAGGCATCACTAATGCATATAACTTTAATGGACTTTGCCCAATGTCAGGCGACCCTGGGAATTACGAATTATGGGAGCTTCGTTTGGGAGACTTCCTAACAGCATCCTGTTACAATCATTTCTTGTTTCAAGTTGGATGGGTTAGATGCATTCAACATTGTCACCAAACTTTGAATGAACATCATCTATATAGCAGAAAGTGTAGTTAAAGGATAATGCTAACTTCTTTTCTTTCTTCTTAAGAAGCTCATGTATGATTTCAGCCTCATGTGAATAAAGAAACAAATTGACAAGAAGAGGAACACAGTTGGTTCCCATGGGAATGCCAATTGTTTGTTGAAGGACATGTCCTCCAAACATACCAAATATGTTGTTATTCAAGAAATCAAGCATCTTAATAATGTCAGTTTCAGAGAATTTTTTGTTTGAATCTGAGTGATTCTTTTACAAAGTATGATTTATCCCTCCTTAAGACAAGAAGACAAGATATCTACGTTAGTTATTCTTTTATATGAAGCAAAGCAGGACCAACTCTGTCAATTTGTTTTTTTAGTTTTGAATGGGGAATACTTGTGTAAAGTGTAGAAAAGTCAAATGTTTTAATACTATTTGCATGATGAAAGAGTCTTAAAATGTATGTATTCTAAAAGATCTTTGGAATTTTTTAGTATCCACATCTGATTCACACCACCTCTAGAATAGGTATTTTCACAATAACTTTGAAGCCCGGCTGTGATTGCTGACAAAATTGATGTTAATAATTTAGAAAGTGTTTTGTGGCGCACTTGGAAGACCCAGCAATATAACGTTGTTTGTAAGGACATTTAGGTATCCAATACAGTAAAGGAAGATCCAGTTCTTCATCTTTGGTTGAAATTCCAAAGGAAAATAGAACAGACCTATGATTATCCAGGATTCCTGCTTGGTAAGTATTATATTGTCTGGACACCAAATGTATTTAACTACTCAGATATATTTGAAGTGAATTGGTTCTTTTGGTCATAGGGGTCAAATGCTGGAGATTTCAAAATATTTATCATTTCTCCATGACGTCATGATAAGGTTCCCTTTCTGGCTAGACATTTCTGTGTAATTATACATTTCACACAACCAAACCTTCCATCTTTTCCCTTCTAAAGTCTTCCTAGTGTTGGACAGGAAAGTCAATGTGACCACGGTTATAAGCAGTCACATTTAGAGATTACTCCAAAACAAAGCTGACCAAGTACCAATAAGAAATGTCGATAAAATACATGTATACTTTATAAGCACAGCACAAGTTCTTGCAATTTTTTCATCTTGTAATGTCAATGCAAAGAACTTGGAAGGCCAATAAATATCACAAAGTTGGAGCATGAAACTAGAATCAAAAAGAATAACAAAAATATCCTCTGATGACAATTAATAGGATATATGAGATAAATTGAAATGGCCATTAAGTATCTGGTCTACTTTCACTATTTGTGTATCTGTGCATAGATATACATGTAACCAAGATCAAGTTGACACCTTTTACCACAATGTCATTCTTAAATGTTACATTTACAAAACCCAGCTGATGAAATGACATGCAGCATCTTAATATAGAAATTTAAAGTGAGGTGCTCAAAGTCTGTGACATTGATTATTTACTGTTAATGTACATTTTTCAGCCAAGTAAATCAGTTTGTCAGATTAATTGATTGTTGCTTGCTTAAATATGTTAAACTGTCTAGTGACAATTCAAATATGTATGCTCTGGAAAACAAGGGTATGTTGGCTAAAGGCAGAAATTTTACCTTTTTTCATACAAAGAGTATCACACTCTCCATAGGCAAATCGTCAGATTCAAGTAAGACAAGACCATATATCTATATCCCATTCAACCTTTATGGTTTTATCCTGTGTCTGTGTTCTGTTGCTGGGTTTTATTTTTTTCCCTCACACACAGGAATAGGGGAGGAGATATAACCTGTTTGGGAAGCCTCTTGTTTGTGTTTTGTTTTGTTAATTCATCCCCACTGAAAATGTTTGTTTTTATTATTCAGATATATGCAACTAAAATTAAATCATAGAGGGATGATATTTGTCACTGTGCACACATCTTTGAAACTTATAAAGATTTTCAAATACATAGACATAAATATTGGTTATAAAGACCAGAAAATATAAATGATTGTAACATTTTTTGTGAAAACAAGCAAAATGATAGGAATACAGATAAATATATATTTGGTGCAGAAAATATATTAAACAGACATTATGACAAAGCTTATGATAAAAGCAGTTTTTACCATTTTTTTAGTTTTAAAAATGGCACTGGCTATGATTGATTACCCTCAAAAATAATTATTGTTACTTCCGAGAATAAAAAAACATACTATTGTTACCTACAATTTCCAAATGAAATCTGGTTGCTGTCCAGAAATACATTTCGGCAATTAGTCCTAACTATTTCTTATTGTTACTTTTTACAGGTAATAGTAGCCAGTGCCTTTAAAAAGATCTTTGGAGGTGAAAACAAACAACTGAAGACAAAAAAAGTATTAATATAAATATAGAACATCAAGGTAAAATTAAAATAGGGGGGGGGGGGGGGAGGGGTTTCACAAAAGATGCAAGACAAAACCAAACAATATCAAATAAATAAACAAAACTGAACAATTCTGCATCATTCATCGCCAGGTTTTTAGAAAGCAAAAACCAATGCCTTCAAAATATTAAAAAATTAAAAGGTTTTTATTCAAATATACAGAAAGAAATTGTACATAATATTTCATGACAGTTGCTCTCAGACCGATGGCAAGCTTTTTGTAAAGCTAACTTTATAACCAGAACAAGGGAAATAACTCTAAAAAATTAACCGGAAGTTAAAACACAAATTAATGCGCGATTATCTTAAATAAAAAATTAATTGTTTTGCGATTTCTACAAATATTTCATGCAAGTTAAAAACCTTGAATCATTATGTTTTAAATTACGACTAACATTTCATACATAGTTAAACTCGGAGCAATAATTATTTTATATTGTCGATGCACTATATTTCAAAGAGAGACTGTTGCTACGAGAGCGAATTGTGTTTAAATAAGGAGTTGTTCGTCTTATTTGTAAAATCATGGCTTCGGAAGACGAATTCGCTTTACCGGGTGAAGATACAAAGACTCCCGATCCAGATAAAGATGAAGATGAACTGGGCGAAGAAGATGAAGGCAAAACAGCCGAAGAATTAACCGATGATGCAGAGGCGTTGAAAAAGGAGCTTGACAAAATAGTGGTGCATCCTCCAACGATTCAAGAGTAAGGCAATGTTTTTGATGCATTCTGTCCATTGCCAAGAATAATAACAAGAAAGAAAGGTTTAATAAACAAAATGTATTAAAGAAAGAGGCCCTAAATACGTGTGTTCATCGTCACAATTTAATTGTTTGACTGTCAACATGGTTAGAAAGACAAGCAGATGTCAAATTTAAAGAAACTTGTACCTGTTCCCTCTGATCAGCTGATGATGCTCCTTCAGATTAATTTGTTCTCCTGGTCCATCTGTCCTGTTCTGATTAAGATTTGATGAATAATAAATATATGTATGCAGACAAAAGTATTGGAACTTTAAATTTAACTTTTTGTGTCTGTAAACTAAATTGAAGGTTGGAGATAGCAAATAAAATTTCATTTGCCAATATGCTAATGTGGTCGGAAAATAGACTTTTCAGCCATGGAGCCAGTTCGGCCTTGGTTGTGTAGGCCATGTAATAAAAGTAGTTTCAGTCATACTTTACTTTTGTATTAATAGAGATTTCGTTGTATATACTTTCATTTGAAATCATTTCAATAAACAGCTGATTGCATTTTATAGCTATCTGCAACAATGGACTAATTAATGAAGGTGTTGACTGTATTTTTTAACGAAATGGTGTGGTTAAATGGCATCACATGTCACTTTAAGTTTTTATTTACAACTTTTATAGAATAGAAACAATTGTTTTGAAGTGGTTATTTCACAGTCGTTTTAGGGACGCGTGTTTTTGAATATAAATAAGAAGATGTGGTATGAGTGCCAAGGAGACAACTTGTCCATCCAAGTTAACAATTATAGGTCAAAGTACGAAGCATAGTTTTACGCTTCTTCTTTTTCTTTTAACGATGGCATGGAAAAGAAAACTTATGACGAAAATTGTTCAAAAGTAAGATAAAACTCTGACTTTAAACTTTATCCTATAACTTTGATAGAAATAACTGTTTTGAAGTGGGTACTTTACAATCGTTTTTAGTGACGTACTTGTTTGACATGTTTGAAGCAGTTTTACATCTCAACGGTTTCTTTTGGCGATGGTCCAGAAAAAAAAACTGTTGTCATGAAGAAATATATTCAAAAGTAAGAAAAATCTCTTGACTCTTGTCTTAATCCTTCCAACTACATAAATGTAGACGAGAAGTATCTGATAAACTTATTGAAGATGAATCCAGTGTTCCCGGAAGTCAAAAATGATGAGTTCATGATCTATATCGCAATTTTACAGTATCTTTTAAAAAGTAAATGTTTGTTATTATTGAGTGTTTATTTATTACAGTGTAGATTAAAAAATAGATTCGTAGAACTATAATAGACAATAATGTGGCAAACTGATTTTTTTGATGGAAAGAATTTTAAACAAAAACTATGTTTATTGTAGTTGGCGAACAATATATTGTTTTGGCAAAAGAGGTATCAAAAAAGAAAATTGACCAGGGGAAATCCTGTATAATATAGGCAAAAAGCATCGATAAAATATGTAATCATTGGATTTCAATTTCTCTAAATTACGTCCACATTTTCTTTTTTTTTCTTCTCTGTTTTCACTTAAAACAAAGCAAAAAGGCAACAGCCTTGTTTTCAAATAAACAAATTAAATTACAAGTTGATTGGTTTATTATGAGACACACACCTTTGTCATTCACTTAGACATTAATTTTATCACTTTTTAATTCAATTATTATTTATTATGTAGTATAAAACTAATCGTATAGCTTTGTCTAGTTCATAGACTACAGCTTAGGAATTTGATCATGATGTATCTTTTTTTTTCAGACTAACAGCCCAGGAATTTGATCCAGCAGAATTCCCTGCTTCCTATAAAGACAATTTACCAAAAGAAAACTTGGTGCTACAATATGCAGAAAATTTTAGACTACAATATGTACACTTATATAGAGACCGGAAACCTCTTCTTCTCAACCCAATCAATGAATGTGGGACAGAGGTAAATTGTATACCATCAGGGTCTTAAAAAATACATGTTTTCCTGCTAACTTGACTGACCCTAACCTTTAAATTCTCTTTTATTTCTGCACACACACACACTTAATGTATTAAAGTCAGACTGTTTCCCCTGTAATGAATTGTAATACATTATATGACCATTGAATATGAGTAACTTTCTTGGATTAATGCTGATTTCCCTGCAATAGAGAGCACTAATGAGCAGGTTTTATTTCCCAGACATAGTCTTCTTATTTTTTATGTAAAATTTAAATAAATTGTGTCACCCTGCCCATAAATCCTAGCTAGGAACTGAGCACTGAATAAGGTACCCCAATGCTTAAATATCTTAGAGAGAACATTTAATGGTTTGACAGAAAGTTCTGAATTGCTTTCTTGATATTTAATTGTGTATGTTACATTGTATTTGTATATTTCTTTATATAAACATTTTATTTATGTTTTTAGAAATTTGTATGTACAACCATCAGACCAACACAGATAGAATTTAAAGAGTTTTATGGTTGGGAAGGAAGTGCAGAATTTGTTGCAGATTATCTGAATTTTGAGACATTAGAGCCTCCTTATGAACTGGTAGTTATCTTATTTTATAACAATATAGTTACAGCAGTCCTTCAAATGAGCTAGAAAAAAAAATATCTGTTTTAATTCACCTGGCTTTTGTCTCTCATTGTCTTCCAATCATCAATGGGGTATCAAGTTTTAAAAATGTGTACTATGTCCCTGCTTGCCAACAAATATGGCCTATATGGCTTAAAATAGAATGGGTAAAATGCAATTTTTTTCTTTTATCTTGAAAACTGCTAAAGATAGTGAAAATCTGACAAGGGCAAAAATGCTCAGAATGATGAGTTCTACAATGTGTCTGATGTTTTTTGACATCAAAACTATCAGACAAATTTTTATAGGAGTTATTGCCCTTGACCAACAAATTTTATCATTTTTGCCTACTATCTCAAAAATTGTACATGTAATAGATAGATAGAATCTTTACAAAGCAAAAAAGACTACAAAGAAGTCAAATGACTAAATTGCTTTACAAAACCTGATTGAAGTTATTGCCCTTCAATGACAATTTTGCATTTTTATTGCATTTTTGCCTATTATCTTGAAAACTAGAATAGGTAAATATAACTTTGAAGGGAAAAATTATCAGCAAGATAAGATCTACAAGTACATCAACATGTCTAAAATTGTCAGATAAAGCTAAATATAGTTACTCCCCTTTAATGGTGATTTTTACTAAAAAGTGGCCATTGCTGAAGATGCAGGTGAGCACCACAGCTCCTTAGAGCCTTTAGTATGTTTTGTTGGGTTGTTTTCTCATTGACTTTGTAATTTTAGAAGTTAAATATAAAGATAAGAAGATATGGTATAATTGCCAATGAGCCAACTCTCCATCACAGACCAAATGACCTATACCTAGAAGCACACATTTTATATTGCAAATTGTGATAAAATACCAAAATAGGAACTTATTAGTTTGACTCAGATAGGTCTTTTATTGTCAAATATATGTTATCAAAATAGCAAAAGATGTGAATTGAAATCATTGTGATGCGAAACAACTGAAAATGTGTGAAATTTTGATTTAACAGTATTATTTTTACAAGATGTACAGGTACCTCAGGTTTGCTGGGTTTGTATTTTGAAAATAAGAACGAAAAAAATGGGGGAATTATGTACTAGATAGAAAAGAATAAATAAAACACATTTTTAGTGAATTTTATTTGCTTGGTGTTCAATGTTTAATATTGATAGCACATTTAATAATATATAGTGTAATTTTCACCAGATTTTTGCTCTGTTTGCTTCCTGAACACGATCATAGAATGATTTAGGGTTTATGTACAAATCACAACATTAATAATGATTTTTTTGTGTACCTAGTTTAATATTCATGGTACTTCTATATATATATATGCTATCGTCCTGAACATGCATGAGATATTTGCCACTGGATGTTAAGCAACTAACAATCAGTCAATCAATTATATATGCTTAATTTGCCAAACTTTAATCACAGAATGTGGTTTTTAGTAATTACTTATATTATTTTAGCTTCAAAATGAATACGGCTTGCTATTATAATATCATTTGCTTTATTGTATTGACATGTTTGTCTATTTTTTTTTTCAGCCAAAGAGGTTGATATCACCACCGTCCGTTTTGAAACGTCAGAAAGGGAATTGTTTTGAGTACAGTACATTGCTGTGTTCCCTGTTAGCTGGAGCTGGTTACGATTCTTACGTAGTCAGTGGGTATGCTACACATGAGACATGTCTCGCAGATGAATCAAGGGAGATTTGTCCACTGATGAAGAAGAAAGAAGAGGCAAGAGACATTTCATTACTTTTTATTCTTATGAAATTTTTTTTATGAAAGTCTAGGTTTTGTTGGGGTGTAGTATAAACGTTGGTCCTTTTCTATGAAAAGTTCACCGTAAGATGAATTCCTATTCGGGCAACAGAATGAACGATATCTTTGGTAAAACAGTAAATATATATAAAATGAAATGCCACTAAATTAAAAATTACAAAATACTTTTTGTCATATTTTTAATGATTTTTAAACTTCAGGCAGAACAGACTGTATCAATATTACTTATACAGGTCTCTTGAAAATGCTTTGTAATTTATTGTTTAAATGCAGTTGTTTTGCGATTTCATCTGTGTTATATTATCAAAAGGTATGTACTGTAAAAACAGAAATTTCTGTTTGCTGGTTATTTTTCGCTTATTTCGGGATCACATAACGTGAAAAAATATCCTCTGTGTTTATAGTTTGTAGAAAGAAACAATATTGATGTGCAGGGCAAATGTATCATTGAAGCTTTAGAATTTAACCCCAGCACGATAATTTTAGGTGTTGAAATCATGAACTTATCCATATTTACGTTTATATCATAAAGCATGTTTTGTCTGAGTATTATACATTAGCCCAGCAACATTCATAGATGTCATACACAATTTTATAAATTTACGAAAAGCAGATAAACAGTCATTTAAACTTTCAATTTCATATTTGTTTTGATAATTAGAAAAAGGAAGAGGAGAAGAAAAGAGAAATAAAAAAATATACAGTAAAGCCTCCACGTGATCTGAGGAGTAAATTTGAACTGAAGCAGGCTGCCAAAGAAAAAGCTGAAAAAGAAGCTGAGGAAGAAAAAAGGAGGAAGGAGGAAGAAGATAAAATAGCTGTAAATATATTATCATTTGGTTCAGTTGGTCATCACTTTGTAAAATTGTTTTTATATATAATATACAGCTTAGCTACTTGGGTGTGTATATTAAGTGCTTTGAATTAAACAGTTCTTGTTTCATAAGTGGACCATCAAATCAATGTTACATTATCAACTGTACATTTAAGATTTATAATTGTCATTGTCCATGTGGTCAACCAATCAAATTTTATGAAAGGTAACGAATGAATGCCTGTAGAACAGTTTGACTGAAGACTGTATTTACATGTACCATAGCTAATTTAAGATTCAAGGTTAGGCTAACAAATACCATCTTATAGCTGCACAACCAAATATTTTAGCATTAAAAAGTAAACTGAGTCCAAAAGTGACCATATCATCACTTTTATCTACATTATAAGCTGAACTGTTAGAAATTCTAAAAATTCCAAATTTCCATTAAAAAAAATATTTGGAATTATTCAAAGGAGTTCTTCGTTATGTCGTTGAAACTAATAACATAACAAAACAAACAGTGTGCGCTTCTCAGAGACCTACTTTCTATTTTCAGACACTTTGAATTACAAGTTGGAATACTCTTAGCAAGATAGCATGTGCATTAATGTTTTATTTTATCATTTCAGGAGTTAGAGAAGCCACCACCAGACCCATTGTATGGTTTAAGGATTCACTCCTGGGTTCTAGTCTTATCTGGAAAGAGAGAAGTACCAGAAAGTTTCTTCATTGAGCCGTTTACAGGACTTTCCCATCCTGTCAATAGTCCTAACTACCTTGGTATAGAATCCGTCTGGAATCATGTCAACTATTGGGTCAACATGCAGGATTGTTCTGAGGGAGTTAAGGTAATTGTAAGCTAGGTTAACAGAGAAATTGCTTAACTTTAAAGAATAGAAAGAATTATTTGGAATCATCAATTAGTTAACTTTCAGCAGGATTGTTCTGATGTTAAATAAACATGAAGACTTCATGAAGACTGATGGTTTAATCGATTTTCAATTGGTCTTGTAAAAGTTATTAGGCTTGTTTTTCAGGAATTGCTAGAGAGAGAGAGAAAAAGAGAGATGAAATATTTCTTTAAATGAATAACATGCAGGATTGATTATACAGTTTAAGGTTATTGATGTGCTAATGTATGTGATCTTCATTTTTTATTCGTTAAAAGCAAATCTGCCCATTTATTCAATACTTTAAATGTGGAAAGTGTTAATTTTTTTCTCTAATTTTCAAGCAATTATTTGAACTAGGTCTAATATTTAAAAAGTTCAATAAAATTACTGAAATGAAGGTACATAATTGTTTACACATTGTACAATTAATATAAACTTACCACAATCTCAATGGTTACTGATTATATCTTTTTTTTACAACCTTATTATTTGTACAATTACATGATTTATAGGTTTAAAATTTACAATGGAAATGTGTATAATTTATATCGTTCACTCACTGTTTCTTTGTATGTCGACATACTCATTGTTTTAGTTACTGTAAATTCAGAAATTATTGCATTGTTTTTATTAATGGGAATTATGTGACTGTTTAATTATTGCAATAAAAAGTACTCACATTCTGATATCTGGTACATGTATTTATATAAAACTCAAATTTTTGTAAGTTGTTACAAAATCACAATAATAAATGCGCTCAATAATTCCTGAATTAAAAAGTTTGTTTATTTTATGTATGAATTCTAAGGCATATACCTTTAGTTGCATGGATTTGTATTTTTTTATTTAGGGTTTAACCTATGATTTGGGAGATTGCACAAAATGGGAATATATGTTTCCTTCCATAGACAAACCATTAAAGATTCCAGGAGAAGATGGCTTTGAAGACTTTGAGGATGAAGAGGTATTTAAAGAGTTGTCCCATGGATAATTTTGATAACAAATCAATTGAATATTGCCCCAAAAAATAAAAGTTTAACCCAAGGAATAAATTATCAGGACATTCATTAGGAGGTGGCAACGGGTACTTTTACTCTTCTGTCCTACTGATAAGTAACGCCTGAATTAAGGAATTTTCATATAACAATTTATGGAGTATATTGAAAAGTACCAGTTAACATGAAAAATAATGAAATCCCAGAATAATTATCATTATTATCATTATTATGAAATCTTTTATTAGTGTACTTAAATTATTATGAGAAAATTGTGTAATTATGCTGTTTGGTTTTTTTTCCTCAATATTGCACCTTTTCATTAAATCATATAATATCAAGTTAAGAAGCTAGTTTTTGTTCCGAAACAAAATCATACAAAGACAACATACTTTATTATGATCATAATATTAAAACCTTTAGAAAAGTCTTTCACAAATAGTGAGTATTTTTGATTCTCCAATTTATGATAAAAGTTAGTTAAAAAACTTTCTCTCCAAAGTGAGATTTTTTACTTTATATTTTTACATCATAAATCATTTCAGTGTTAACCAATATTTTTACATATGGTCAGTTGTTAAAGTAGACCTTATCGCTATTTTGGAATCTTCAACGCTTGAATTATTGCCATAGACAACAATTACTTTGCATCGTCGCATAAGATTTTTCCTCTAACACTGTCAACATTTTATAGAAATGTCTGTGCTTGTGTCATGGCCAGGAATGGTGGATAAAAAGCGATAAGTTGTATTGTTACAAAATGTTTGTAAAAATGTTGCTACATGTTGTTACCGTAATTCTTCTGGCAGAGCTACATTAAGCCTGAGGTTAAAATTATCCGAATCAAGATGTTTCACTTGAGCAACATTTAATTAACAACCAAGCAATAAGAAATTGACCAGTTGAAAAAAAATTGGTTAACATATGAATGTTTTTTGCTTTAATTCCAATATTTGTAAGTTCCCTTTAGAATGACAAAGAATTTTATAGCATGATGTTTTTGTTAGTCAGATGGTGTTGTAGCAGTAAGTTCTGCATGACTAATCATAGCATGATCACGTTCATCGGTGCATGACTTATTTTTCAGAGGGCCAAAACTGCAATGAGTTATAGGGTTGCATCATCCACAAACATGACAAATAAATCTGTAACTCGGGAAAGCACACAATTCACTATCAACGAGGTTAAAGTTTATGTGGGGTGTGTGCTTCAATATATGTATCATGCAGTTTTTTTTATATTGTGACTATGAATTCATATCATTACCATAATTCTATTTTGATTGATAATCTAAGTTGATATGAAAATTATTTGATTAACAAGTTTTTTTATATCGTTAGAAATTTAATGTTTTAACGTGCATCAGCAAACACAAACAATTGTCAGTTAGGGAGTAAGAAATTGTTTATTATAAGATGTACTTGTTGAGAATATTTTGGATCAAATAGTGGGATTGTATGGCCAGAACTGTTATTAAAGTATTCAAACTGTGTGGACAAACCTGTAGTTAATACTCCTACTTTTCACTTCTTCCAATCAAATATATTATTTTTCAAGAAATTCAAACATAAATTTAAGCATTTTGAAACATTGTGAAAAAAAAAAGTGTTGAAAGTAATATATTTATTTATAATTTAATCAGGTTAGTAATTTAAGTGATGGTAAGCTTGCTGTGTTCTTGTTTAAAGTGATGTTTGATCTCAAAAAGGACAAGTTGTTTCATTCATGTAACATGGGAGATAACTCATTGTTTCAATTTGAAATTATGAGACAGATAGCTTCATTGTTAACATCTAGACGTCTATTAGGTACTTGGCGTGCTGTTCCCAGATGTTGTTTTATAGAAGATCACAAATGATTTCTATTCACATTGACAGAGAATGCTAAAATTTTATCGTTATTTTCATCGGAAACCTGGAAATTGCTCCTGGATTTACACACATGGATGATCAGAATTTAAGTTGTTTATTTGTTCGTTAATGGAAACAGTGTGAAATGTTTTATTTTAGTGATTTAATTAATTTTTGTGTTTGCTGTGTAAATTGTCATTTCATCATTTGTCCCATAAATGTTTTTTTTTTATTCAGGAGTCACAATATTATTCATGTTTCACTAATATGGTTTTGGATGGTGTGATTTTTCAACAAGAGTGATTTTAACACGATATTCTGTAATCTGCATATGATCTACCAATAAATCGTAATACTTACCAGTAATGAAAAGTAATTCCCTCAGTGCATTATATAGCTTAAATATTTTACTATGTTTATATAAACAAGGCTTCTTTTAACAAGGGTGTAGAGATATTTATTCACCAGAGACTGAATCCATTTTGCTTTGCATGACAATAACTTTATGGATAATAATTGAAATTTATTGAGAGAAAAAAATTAAAATAATACAAGCATGTTCTTCTGAAAGTTGGAATAACAATAATGCATGCTTCTTTGTTTGATGGTAATACTATGTCAAAAATTAAGTAACAAACTTGTTTTGATTTGGTTTGTGAAGTTTCTGCTTCAAGTCATGCATGTAAGGTAATGCTTTGAGATATTTTAACTGAAGAAATCTTATGACTTAAATTGATTGTAAGTTATACTGGAATATTCATGACTTGCAAGGATTTTTTGTGTCAATAGTCACAGATGATTTAATTCACAATTCCTATACATAAGTTGTTATATATATCCCCAAAGAAATTTCTTGAAATATATTTTATCATGAATAGGAATCAATTTGATTTAAAACAGAAATTGTCAATTTGCTTTATTTTGTTATAATCTGTATTATTTCAGTGATTCCAATTTCCAAACATCTTCAAAATTGTAATAAATAAAAATGGGAACTCAAACTTGATTTACTATATAGTTTATTAATGTTTAAAAGAATTATTGAGCTGTTTCTGCCATAAGTAAAAATAGATGAGGTATTCCAAATAAAAATTATTTTAAATTATAATTAGGAGAATGAGTACTCAACTAAAAAACAGATTTTCCAATTTTATAATAACCTATCACCTTTAACCCTTCACCTTTACCAGACCATTATTGATATTCTGACTACTGAAATAGATCTAGATTTAACTTCATTGCATCAGATGACATTTGATCTTTGTATCTCAATGCCTTTTATTTATATGACAATTTCTCACATTATTATTTTTTATTTGACCAGGACGAAGACGAGGATGAAGAGAATACTGCCAATAAATTAGAGCACCTAGATATGCCGCCATCTTGGGTGGAAATCATTAAACTATCTCTAAAAGGTAAACATAGAGCACTTAGATATGCCGCCATCCTGGGTGGAAATAATCAATTTGCACCTTATTGTTCAAAGGAATACCTGGCAACTCTATAAAATAAACATTATAGTTTGCCAGATGAAAGGTCATCCAAATATGATCCTTTTTTAGGTGTTTTACATGAGCGACAAACAAATATAATTTAGGAAAGTGAATCATCTGATTATAAAGTATTGGGATTATTTATTTGTAAAGATTATTCCTCATTGAAATTAAAGCCACGTTGTAATAAAGTGTGTATCTTTCTTTTTGTGATGGTTATCTAATTTTGTACATGAAAAGTTATTTATTGAAAAGAATAATTACACTGAAACCTGTCTAAATAAAACCCTATGTAAACCAGAAACCTGTCTAAATAGAACCCTATGTAAACCAGAAACCTGTCTAAATAGAACCCTATGTAAACCAGAAACCTGTCTAAATAGAACCCTATGTAAACCAGAAACCTGTCTAAATAGAACCCTATGTAAACCAGAAAACTCTTTCATCCCAATGTACACATATTCTTATGTAAAAGTAAGTTTAGTCAAGACACCTTCCTGTTTGGAACAAAATATTCAGAATTGAAGGGTTTTTATTTAGGGAGGTTCCACTGCAATAATGAATAACAACCTATAGAACTGTAATTAAAATTTTACTTTGGATAAACAACAAGTTTGTTTCCTTAGCATGGTGTAGCAGATGGAGTTGATTAAAGTAATGCCCATCTTCCAGTAAAATTAGGAAAAAAATATAAACAAGAATGATCTGACTTCATACTAATACATTCAAGACTATTTCTAGATATAGGAAATTGATATGGTAAATTGTACAGAAATTACTGCATGCTTACAATAAATATTCTATAAGAATGGTTAACATTAACATATCAGTGATTTTAAAGAGTTATGTCCCCTAACATGGGTCTGGCCTCCTTTTGAAAAAGAATTAATTTTGAAAATTTTATCTGCATTTCAGCTGCAAACCTCCTTAAAATTATCTATCAAAGACCACAGGATTCAAAAATGAATATTTACACAATTACTAGAATGCTTTTGTCAGTATTGATGATTAATTAAAATATAATATTGGTATTATTAATTATTTGCAGATTTCCAAATGAGATGTCCACATGGGAAGAAAGTAAAGCTGTACAAGAGAGCCAAGTTAGAAAAGTTTGCACATTACCTGATGAAAGATGGACTGATATCTAAGTTGTCAATTTATGAAAACAGAGAGTGTAAGTCTAGATAGATTCATGACCTTACATACTTTATACAGTATTCCTGTTTTATTCTGCATTTAAAAATAGAAACAGTCTGAAATTAAAAACACTTTGGTGCAAACAGGGTGATATAATAAGTTACTCTTGTGAATACTCAGTCACAATTTTCCATAAAACTGTAATCCAATATCCAGATATTTATCCTTTAAAAAAGGTTTTTTTCTCTGTAAAGTATTTTTGTTTTTTTCCAAAGATTAATTCTGGGAAGAAAAGTGTTTTGAAGATGAAAGCAAAAGTTTTTTTTATCATTTTAAAGACTTTAATTGAAATTAATTGATGTGAAAACTAGATTTGAATGTTCAACTTTTTATGCATCTTTTGGTAGCAGGGTTTTTAAAAGAATTAACAGTGCATCTGTCCCTCATTTAGAAAAATGACTATTGTCAACACTTTTACACTCCAATGAACTACTCATTTTTTACTTGAATTGCAATACAACTTTTACAATCTGGTTATATTTCTTGCAGTGACAGATTTGGTAACGGTGAAGGAATATTTTGCTCACCGTATTGATAAACTACTACAGCGAGTCAGTAACCACAGATCTGGATGGGTAACAGAGCACTTTGATCCTGGAAGATCTCATTGTCTCAAAGGTATTTTTATAGTTATCTCCCTTTCATAGGATATTTAATACCATATTTTGGGCATATGATACAGTTTTTGATCTCACAATGAATTTTTTGACAATCATTTGCATACAAGTTATTTTCACCTAGTCAATTCAAATATGTAATATAAAATATACCTTCATGTGCTTCTTCTAGAGATAAATGGTGTTGAAATTGTAGACATTTACTCAAAATTTCTGTTTCTTGGACATTTCAATCCTTTGGACAGACATACCCTAACTTTTTTGTTTCAATGATAAACACAAGCAGATTTTTTGTAAAAGCATTTGGAATATGTTATGTAAGCATGCTCATAATGTGTGAAACATTTCTTACAAAATAAGTAATTTTCATTAATTTTCAGGATTTTAGAAAAAGAGCAGTGTTTTTTACTGTATATTTATGTAATTTAAATAAATTCATCAGTGACTTGTTCATAAAAAATAATACAATTAATCTTCATATATAACCAAGGCAAATATCAAAAAATAATAAAGAGGGGTTCATGTGCTCGTTTTCATGCTAAGGATTAAAAGCAGTCGAAAAACACATCTTTTCCTAATATGTTGAAGTTTAACGTAGCAAAAAATAACATTTTACATTAATGACATCATTAATAATTCCCCTGTTTAACTTTAAAGAAATTATGGTGTTGTGGTTTCTGGTTTATCTCATTGTTTGAATAATATTCTCTCCCCTGGATGGATTATTGAATACATTTTATACATAGGGGCCCTTTTGTCTGGCATTAGATTTTTAAATTATTTTCCCTTAATTTATGACAAAATGTTAAGGTCTTGAAAGATCACATTTTCTGTGAAAGGAATAAATTATCTCCCCTGGATAGTAACACACTACATTTGATTCTGTAAAGTGGTAGAGTTATTTATCTTGTCACTATTATTTTGTTATTGTTACATGTTACATTGACTGTTGTCGTTTTTAACAATGAGATGCTAAGTCAGGAAGCTCAACAATGACATAGAAAACTTTAGATTTCAGATTTTGTTTTATTGAAGTAAATTGATTTTATCTGAGTTTGACTTTTTTCATGCAAGTCTTGTAAATATATTGCTTACAAAAATTAGTTGGATTACAGTATTTTCTGCTATCTCCTACATATAAATAATATTGGGTAAGGATAAATGGACTATTAACTTGAAATTAGGGCCTCTATGGCTGAGTGGTCTAAGTAGTTCATCTACTGTATCACTAGCCTGTCAATTACTGTATCACTAGCCTGTCAATTACTGTATCACTAGCCTGTCAATTACTGTATCACTAGCCTGTCAATTACTGTATCTCTAGCCTGTCAATTACTGTATCAATAGCTGTCAATTACTCTATCCCTAGCCTGTCAATTACTGTATCACTAGCCTGTCATTTACTGTATCACTAGCCTGTCAATTACTCTATCCCTAGCCTGTCAATTACTCTATCCCTAGCCTGTCAATTACTCTATCCCTAGCCTGTCAATTACTCTATCCCTAGCCTTTCAATTACTGTATCACTAGCCTGTCAATTACTCTATCCCTAGCCTGTCAATTACTCTATCCCTAGCCTGTCAATTACTCTATCACTAGCCTGTCAATTACTCTATCCTTAGCCTGTCAATTACTGAGGTTGTTAGTTTGAAACCAGAGTCCAATCTTGATTGAGAAGGATTATTAGTTTTCCTTCCAAAGTTGTTCTCTCCGTCTACACTAGTTTAGCTTCCTTCAACAATAAAAACTGACTGCAATAAAGTAGCCAAGTGCTGAAAGTGGAATTAAACATGAACAAGCATTCTACCATATTAACTAAAAATTACCATAGATAGAAATAGAAATAGAAAAGGAGATAATTATTTTATTGAAATTAATGTGTTTTAAAATGTTTTCGTTTACAGAGCATCAATACAAATCAAGTGCTCCCGGTCCAGAAAATGAGAGGACTATGATATTTTATAATGAAGCCCGAGTTGATGGTTTAATCAAGCGTGTAGAAACACCGGCAGAAATGACAGAGGAATATTCTGATAGGGATGACTTTTTGTACTATAAACATATTGACTTTGGAAAACGACCAAAAAAGTTTGGCCCTCAAGATGGTTCATCTTCAAAAAATGAAAGACCTATTGTTGTAAGTAAAACTTTCAAAGAGGAAATAAATATAAAATAAAAATCTAGTTCATTTTCATTTTGTCAGATTCAGTGGACTGACAGTAGAATTTGCTTTTGTAATTTGGTTTTATAGGAATAACAAATACATTTACCCAGTTTTTGACCTACTACGCATTTAAAAAAAATATATCTGGCAAAAATGTCTCTCCAGGCACTCCAGATTCTTCCACCAATAAAACTGACCACCATCGTATAGCCAATAGTTCTGAAACTGGTGTTAAACACCAACTATCAATCAATCAATCTTTTTTTCATATAAGATGTACTTGTATTCTTTGAGTAGACTATCTTGCATCTTATAATCTAATAATCTCTTTGATCAATAGGTTTTTGACCATGAGTTTTTTTCTTAAATGTTTTACTTTCCAGCAATTGGTTGCTGAAATTTTGTTCTTTGATACTTTGCAGAAAAGACTCTTAATCTTCTGCTTTCAGAAACATTGGATATGTATCATAATTAAGTCTCCCAAACGAAGTTTGGGAAGACTTATTGTTTTTGCTCAGTTCTTATTATGTCACCCGATCGACAATGTCGGGTGACATATTGCTTTTCCTCTGTTTCTTTTTCCCTATTATTATTATTTTTCTTCCACCTAATTTTGTCCGGCAGTTTTCTCAGAGGCAATGGAACCAATCTTCATGATTGTTGAGCATAATGAGGACCACCATCAGTGGAGTTGCAGTGAAACTTTGGAACTTTAAAATGGCTGCCGTTTCCATGGAAACAGCAAAAATGTGAAAAATATTTTTTTTGTTTTTGATGACTAATTTGAGAATGCCTAACCTAAAAATCATCAAATTTTTATACAACATAGGTATCCACTATATACAGGTTTTGGATGATTTTAAGAATCATTGGAACTACTGTATTGCCATGGAACTGGGGAAAGGTTTCCCATTATAACCCTATGGGAAAAACCTTAAAGTAGCATTTTCTCTCTTAAAATGGTAGGTCAAATCCATTGAAACTTTGATGGTATGTTCCCTCCAATGTACCAATGTGGCATCTGTCATTACAATTTTGGGAATGGTCTTTGTTACCATGGAAACCAGCAAAAATGTCAAAAATTTCAAAATGCACCAAACTTAGTATAACTTTATATTAATGCTAACTGGCATGTATAGATAAGACTTTTGACTTTGGAATTTCCAAAATGGTCACTGTTGCCATGGAAACAGCAAAAATGTGAAAATTTCAAAATGCTCCAAATGTTCTGAAAATTTACAGAAAGATGTATTGCCATGCATATATGTGCATTCACTGTTTAAAATTTTTGAAATGGCTGCCACTTAGTGGCAATGGGGGGAAGGGTGACATCCGCTATTGCTTGCAATGGCAAATCTAGTTATTATTATTATTCTTCTTCCTCTTCCGCCGCTTTTTAATTTGAACTTGTCAGCACCCGTTCTCCAAAACCGCTTGTCAGATTAACTTAGGGTTTCACAATATGTTAGACTAACATGTCTAGTGGTGCAATCAGGGTTTTGTTTGTGCAATGGGGTTTATAAAGGGGTACTTTGAGGGGCAAAAAGAAAAGAGGGTTTTACTATAGAACCCTATGGGATTTTATTTTTTTACATTTTCAAATGATTATAAATTGAAAACCGTTTGTGACAGACACAATCTTTTTAATTGAAAATGTTCTAAATGATAAAGCCCATTAAATGAAATACAGGGTTAGTCCCCAGGGGTCATCCCCTCCCCCTGCCATTTAAGAAAGTTCTAATACCTTGTAAGTGGTCAAGATCCCCACCCCTAAACCATATATATTTTGGTTTGTCATGCTAAGATGGTTTGAATGATATACAGGGTTAGTCCCAAGGGGTCATCCCGACCCCCTGCCATTTGAGAAAGTTCTAATATCTTGTAAATGGTCAAGATCCCCACCCCTAAACCATATATATTCTGGTTTGTCATGCTAAGATGGTTTGAATGATATACAGGGTTAGTCCCCAGGGGTCATCCTGACCCTTGCCATTTGTGAAAGTTCTAATATCTTGTAAATGGTTGAGATCCCCACCCCTAAACCATATATATTCTGGTTTGTCATGATAAAGCACATCAAATGAAATACAGGGTTAGTCCCCAGGGGTCACCCCCACCCCATGCCATTTAAAAAAGTTCTAATATCTTGTAAGTGGTCAAGATCCCCACCCCTAAACCATATATATTCTGGTTTGTCATACTAAGATGGTTTGAATGATATACAGGGTTAGTCCCCGGGGGTCATCCCGACCCCCTGCCATTTGAGAAAGTTCTAATATCTTGTAAATGGTCGAGATCCCCACCCCTAAACCATATATATTCTGGTTTGTCATGATAAAGCACATCAAATGAAATACAGGGTTAGTACCCAGGGTCACCCCACCCCCTGCCATTTAAGAAAGTTCTAATATCTTGTAAGTGGTCAAAATCCCCACCCCTAAACCATATATATTCTGGTTTGTCATGCGAAGATGGTTTGAATGATATACAGGGTTAGTCCCCAGGGGTCATCTAGACCCCCTGCCATTTGAGAAAGTTCTAATATCTTGTAAATGGTCGAGATCCCCACCCCTAAACCATATATATTCTGCTTTGTCATGATAAAGCACATCAAATGAAATACAGGGTTAGTCCCCAGGGGTCACCCCCACCCCCTGCCATTTAAAAAAGTTCTAATATCTTGTAAGTGGTCAAGATCCCCACCCCTAAACCATATATATTCTGGTTTGTCATGCTAAGATTGTTTGAATGATATACAGGGTTAGTCCCCAGGGGTCATCCCGACCCCCTGCCATTTGAGAAAGTTCTAATATCTTGTAAATGGTCGAGATACCACCCCTAAAACATATATATTCTGGTTTGTCATGATAAAGCACATCAAATGAAATACAGGGTTAGTCCCCAGGGGTCACCCCCACCCCCTGCCATTTAAGAAAGTTCTAATATCTTGTAAGTGGTCAAGATCCCCACCCCTTAACCCAATGTTCAAATATCTTGTAAATGGTCGAGATCCCCACCCCTAAACCATATATATTCCTGTTCGTCATGTCTCGAACATTTGAATGACGTATAGGGTCAGTCCCCAGGGGTTCCCCCCACCCCCAATGTTCTAGTATCTTGTAAATGGTCGAGATCCCCACCCCTAAACCATATATATTCTGGTTTGTCATGCCAAGATGATTTGAATGATATACAGGGTTAGTCCCCAGGCATCACTAATGCATTTACTGGACCAAACCAATTTTCACTGCACTTTGCCCAATGTCAGGTGACCCTGGGAATTACGAATTATGGGAGCTTCGTTTGGGAGACTTCGTAACAACATCCTGTTACAATCATTTCTTGTTTTTATTTCTATTTTAGAAAATGGTAAAGAAATTCCATCGTAATGTTTCTAAACCAGCTTGTGACGATGTTGCAGAATTAATTTACCTTGTATCAGAGGACAAAATGCATATAACCTACCATACTGAGGACCCTAGAATAGCTGCTTCAACAAGAGAGTTTGTCAAACCAGCAAACTGGGCAGAGAAAGGGGCTACCTTACAGTTCTCACCTGACATGCAACAATCTTTCCAGGTAAGAATAGTTGTTTTTTGATAACTCTTTACATTTTGTCTTTTATATTCTTCATTTTTGGAGTGATATGGATGTGGACGAGTCTACAACATATCTCTGTAATGATTAAAATACCCCAAAATTGTTTGAGTAACTTCCCTTGGTTGCCATTTTGGAGGGAAAACTAGTGGATTTTCTAATTTGATTAACCAAATTTAAACGTGGTACAAGCAAGTTTGATAAAAAGTCCTTACCAGATCTTACTGATGAATTATACAAGGCTCAATTAATTTCAATTGTTCCATTGTTCCAAAAGTCTAGGGGTCGGTAAGATTAAATTGGTTTATTTCTGGAGGAATTTCATTTTTGCCATCAACCTAAAACGGCAGGAAAGTGAATCATTTCCATCTCAAATAATTTCAATGGAAAACTATCTGTAGTTTATTCTGATCAGTTACATCATTGTTTAATCATTTTCTCATGTGACAATGTGTGACTTGGTAAGTTGAAAAATCCCAGCAACAGTTAAAATGAAGAACTGCAATAAATGTACTGTTTCTTTGATATACTAATTATTTCATCTGATGGGATTTTTGTCTTATTTACATGCAGTCCATATCCTTTCTTTCCTTAGAGTTACCGGTAGTCACTTTTGTGTGTTTTCATTTGTTTATGTATTTTTTTGTGTTAGACCAAAGGACTTTACTGGAATACAAATGTTAGCACTCTCACAGGTATAATTCTTGCAAGATTTTTATAAAACTTATACTATAGGTTAATATTAGCAATATCTACAAGTTCTATTATGGTAGCCAATAGACTTTTTTTTAAAAGAATTATGCCCTTGGAAATATTAAATTTATGGAAAATGGCCTCGTTAGCACTCTCAATGGTACAATTCTTGCCAGATTTTTATAAAACTTTTACTATAGGTTAATATCAGCAATATCTCAGACGAGTTTTATGATTGTGGACGATCAAATTTTTTTAAAAGAGTTTTCGATCGATTTTATAGTTTGTTTCTATCAATCTATGTTGTACTGTTACACCACTGTCCCAGGTTAGGGGGAGGGTTTGGTGCCAACAAACTATTTTAACCCCACCATATTCTTTACGTGCCTGTACCAAGTCAGGAGCCTGAAATTTAGTGGTTGTCATTTGTTGCTTTATATCATATTTGTTTTTCATTCATTGATTTGTACAAAAATTAGGCAGTTATTTTTCTCGTTTAAAGTGTTTTACATTTGTCATTTTGGGGCCTTTTATAGCTGACAATGTGATATGGGTTTTGCTCATTGTTGAATGCTGTATGGTAACCTATAGTTGTAAACTTCTATGTCATTTGGTCTCTGGTAGAGAGTTGTCTCATTGGCAATCATACCACATCTTCTTATTTTTGTATGACTATTCAAGAATTACATTTTTGTTTTTCTCAATAGAGGTAGGGTTTCCCTATGGAACTAATACAAGTAACTGAAGGTTACCTTTGCTTTAATATATATATATAGACTTGAATATAAAGAGAATGATAAGTGAGATTGTCTGTTAGCAGTATATGTGTTGATATTGAAGTCTTAAATCTACATCCATCTAGTTAAGTCAGTTAATACAAGTTAAGCATACCACAGTCTTAACTGGTTAATTAAGCTGTCAATTATTATTGAAATGTCTGTACTCTTAACTAAAATACATCTCTGCTAACATTGTGATTTTCTCAAATAATTTTGTACTTGACCTAAATTTAAAGTTTGTAGTTCTATCTTATGAAGTGGCTTATCAACATTACAATCAAAAGTTTTTGATTATATGTTTTGTGCAATTTTTATAGACAAACCATCCAGTGTTAAACATGTTAAACTAGATTTCTATGACATGGTTAACTCTATTTAAATGTTATCAATGCTATCTAAAAAGGCATCATGTGTTGAAACTAAAATAGCTACGGTGGAAATCACATAAATAAAGTCAACTGATTAAATTAAATTGATTTCAATATGTTTAATAATTTTCTTAAACTTTGACTTTAGGCCATTTTAATAGCTTCTTAATCATTAATTAAATTTTCTGAACAAAAAGATTTAATTTGTTTTAATGTTGTGCTGTGACACCACTGTCACAGGTAATTGGAGGGTTGAGCACTCTCAAATATAATTAAACCCTGCCACATTCTTCATGTGCCTGTCCAAAGTGATTATAATTTAGTGGTTGTCTTTTGATGTCTGCCATACTTGCTTTTCATCTATCATTATAAGTGTAAGTTGGCCCTTTTGGTTTTTTCTTTTAAATTGTTTCACATTTTGTCATGCTGGGCAGCTGGGACCTTTTATAGCTTTTATAGCTTGCCATATACAGTATGGTTTTTGTTTACTAAATATTGAGGATGTTGGGTGACCTATAGTTGTTTGCAACTTGGTTGTCAATTTGAAAACCTTACAAGGATTAATTTGCTTGAGATAAAATTAGGATTGAACTGACTAGTAAATAGTTGCAACTATATTATTTTCAATAAAAGTACGAGTTAGCTCAGTTGCAAAGCAAAATTTCTGTCCCCATCCAAAATACCTCCATTTCCAGTGGCAGTCCAAATTTCCAGTCTATTAACCCAGTCGGCCTACCTATTATTGTTATTGTTAATTTGCTCTCGTCCTGAAAAATACATGAAATATTTGCCACTGGGTGTTGATTATGAAACAATAATCAATCATGTATTAGTTTGGATGTGATAAATTAAAATAATAAAAATGGTTTCAATTTCATAGATATAGGAAGATGTGGTATGAGTGCCAATGAGACAAATTTCCCTCCAAGTTAACATGTTTTAGGAACCTATAGTGACTGCGAAATTTTTCCAATAATGACAATGGTTATTATTTATGTTTTAACACTAAATGCATGTTTTTTTCTAGGTTGATGCTTCAAGTCGACAAAACAAACAAGTAGAGCTATATCAGATGCTTCTAAATTTGTTAAAAGCAGAAGATTTGTGTAGAACCAGAGTTAGAGATTCGGAAGATGAGGTCAGTTAGAATGCTTTATTGGTCTTTTCAGTCTAAAAGCAGGATTTAAAAAAATTATACAACTTTGATATTTTATTGTGTTTGTGCTATAAACTGAACATCATAAAGAGAATGAATAAGAAGTTAGACTTCACAATATTTTTATAAATAAGATGCATTCAACTGAAATATACTGATTTCATGATGTTTCTGAAGTTTTCTGAAAGGAAAAGAAAAAGTAAGAACTAATCAAAAAGAAAGGAGAAAGAGACCAAAGGGACATTCAAACTCATAAGTCGATAATAAAATGACAACTCAAGGGAATAAAACTTCTTTAAAAAAATGAGATAGACCAGAGCACCATGACCAAAAGAAAAGATTAAAGTATGCTAGTCCTTTAAACAACACAGAAAGCTAAGATTTAGCAACACAAACCCAACCATAAGAAGTATTTACATTTTGTCAGCTGAGTTCACTCATCATTTTATTGTTTCAACAAAAGTTGAATTAGTAATGTAATTTAAAGGGCTCTTCTCATTGTGTTTTGACCAAAAGACTAGTTCGTTAGTTGATTAATAAATTCAGAGATTTTGTTTTCTTTAAAAATTAAGGACATGCAGATTAAAAGGATGAATTCTTTGACTAATCTGAAAAAATCTTTTTCTTGAAACGTTCAAAAACCCAAAATCCAACTATCCTATTACATTGTATTTCCATGGATGTGTTGTATATGAAGTCTAGACTCAAGTAATAAAGCCTATAGAAAATGTGTACTTGGTTCAACATTGTAAAGGAGTAGGGGTGATAAGGCCCTTATTTGTCCCAAATATTACTGCAAATTTAATAGTTATCATACATATTCTTAAATTTGTCCTAACTATATTAAGGTACAAGGTATTCAGAAAATAAAAACAAATTTTACAGTTAATGAGTTACCATGGCAACAAACCATGACGAAATTTGTATATTTTGTAAAATTTTTTTTACTTTCCTTGTTTTACATCAAATTTTAAGTATATTTTAGATTGGCAAAGTATGTGCGCACCCAAGAAACAACTTTATTTTTGGTGAGATTATGTCAATAGTTATAATAAAGCTTCTCTTAAATTATTTTGTTGTTTCTTGGCTGCGCACGGTGTTTCCACAATAGAAATAATGATGGAAAACTACATGAATTCTGTATTGTTCATCGTTTTCATGAAAACAGTACATAATTGTGACGTCATCAGATAAAAAATCTTATGTTTTTAGTTTTGATTTCTTGACTCTATGAATTACCAAACATTATGCGCCAATTTGGAATAGTTGTCAAACATTTTATTTTCTTGGGCCAGAACCAGGCCTTTATGCCCCTACTGCTTTATGGTTGACCTTATAATATACCCATGAAATCCACAAAAAAGTTTGGTATCCCATCAATAGTAACGAACCCACAGTAATTACGTGACAAATTTATATAATGTTTTACTGATTTCTGTTTCACAAATTTACTTGTAGGTAAAAGACATTCTAAATGAGAGAACAAAAGAAGAGACAACATTAGAATTAGATATATCAGTCTATGATACAGAGAGGAATGAAAAAGCTAAGAAACATCGTAGAGAGTTGGTAAGTCCATATCATTGATTGTAGTCCAAAACTTTCTTTCTTAGAAGGAAACCACTGAACGGAGGCCACTCTTCTCTAATGTTATCCTATATTGGCCAATTATTGTAAATTTATAAATGTTTGTGATGTTTTTATTATTATTGCCAAAATCGCGACTGGATATATATAAGGATTTTGCCAGCACTTGTCATTTTTGTCATATAGGAAACGATTTTCAAAATGATGAAAGATTTTCTAATCATTTCGTCACCAAAATTGTAAAAGAAAAAAAAAACAATTGGTAAGAAAATCTACAATTTTACCTAGCGACATATTTATGTTTTGCTGAAATAGGGGGCTTATAGTAAGGTCTATGAAACAAACTTTTATCAGGAATTACATTTGTTTTGATATTTGAGGTGAAAACAATTCCTTACTATTCAATGGATACTTCTTTTAGTTTACTGTACGACCTTCAACAATGAGTAACCCCATAACGTAAAGTCAACTGTTACAGGCACTGAAATAATAATATGTTATGTAGATATTTAGAAAATGCATTGTCTGCTATGTTATTAATTATTTTTTTTAAATAAATGTAGGTCTTTTTTAAAAATACTGATGTTTTTTTTTATGTTTGATAAATACTGTCGCCCTTCGATGAGATTGTAGCTGAGAAATACCCTCTCGTTTGAAAACCATAGATAATCTATAAATATCACATTTATACAGCTTTTCAACTACCAGAGGACTTATATCTTTTAAAAACAACTCTACAAAACATTCAAGGTGACTTCTTGTAAAGTCTGTATACACTAACCTAACCTATCAAAACAGACAAGATTATAACAAATCGGTTTTCTAATTGTCCTTGATTCTGTCGTACTCGGGTGTAAAATGGCTACCAGTCAAGTTATATATAATTATTCTGCTTGTTCTGACTGAATTAATTGATAGCCTCTGGATTATCCATAAAACTTGATGCCTTAATTATTTTGTTGAAGATGGCTTGTGTGGTTACCTAAAGATACTTAAGTTTTTTGATGATCATAACAAACTGATTGAATTCCATTCTTGTTTTCAATAAAGGTTGATGACATACAAATTGCAAGCCAAAGGAAAATGGACTTCTCATTTTCCCTCGAGAATCAAAAGATAAAAAAGTTATGTTATTATTGTAAGAATTTTTTACGTAGGCAGGTGAAGTTTTTACTACAACAATGAATCCAAGTGCATACTGGTTCCTGATTATAAAATTAATAATCGAACGAGAAGACTCTAATTACTTTGTATGAAAAATTGTCATGCATTACATATAATTTTTTTTAACGCTCTTAGGTTTAAAGAAGCCAAGATCAAGTGTTGGCTCTTACAATTTTGCTGAGATGCAATGATTCTTAAGTATTTAGCCGAATTGTTACAAGAAATTATTCCGTAACATAATATGCGTAATCACTTGTTACAGTGTAAGAGATAATATTAAGTGTATCTCTAAAATGAAAAGTCCTATAGTGATTTTGGTATTTTAGAAACAATATTATAATTGAAAATGCATTATCAAATTTTTTTTTTTTACCTGGGAATTTTACTTTTGTCTTGCCACTAAATACTATTAAAAATATAACTTGCCTGGGAATGGTATGAAGACAACCATTTGATATAATGGGGGAGGGGACAATTGATATAATGGGAGAGGGGACAAGAGGAATTGTTTTCACTTTTATACACAATTGTTTCCTGCAGTTTGTGTTGCAGAATATTATTTTTTTTTATCCTATCTTTTGCAAGATTATTTATTTTCTGCTTTTACCAGGCAAGTTTTCCCTTCTGTTTCAAAACCAACCATATAAAATGCAAATTCTATTCATACTATGTTAATACTAATCTGAAGATTTTAGAGTCATCAGTTTTTGACAAACTATTAGTGAACTGAACTAACACATCTTTGAATAAGTCAGTGTTGTTAATTTTCAAAATCCTGCTGTTATTAAAAAATATGTTGTTTTTTTTTCTTCGTTTTTGCCGTGATTTTGTCTGTCTCTCTTCGAGTAATCACTTTTGAATCTCCCTCTGGTATATTCCTTCTCTCTTTAATACATCATCTTTTGTATTTTTTACAATTTTTATCCTGTTAAACAGAAGTATTCAAGTTAATTATGTCACAAAAGAAGACTACATAGACTTTTTGAATATTTTCTACTCAGACAAATGGACATTAAGTTTTGACAATTACAGTAATTGTGTTAAGGAGGAAACTTGGATGACAGACCATTAAGCTTCATTAGGTGTTCTTGGTTAATTTGTTTTCACTGGTGTTATCAATTTTACCATTAACTACACACAGCATTAAATCCTGCTAATTTTCTACAATCGATGGCATTTTGCATGTCAGCTGATCTAATTTCCGTTAGAGCAACTGCGGAACAAACAAATGTTGTTTTTTGTTTCATTTTTTCTACCTTTGAATTATTTAAGTATTACGGTACACTAAATTAATTTGTTTAGTCACTGTCTCGTTGATATTTACTGTACATCTTTCATTTATGTAAAGAAAAATAAGGCAATCAATGCACATAGATAATTAAATATTTCTCAATTGATATGATCTTGATAAATTCAGAACATGCCATTAAATTAATTTGTATTAATTTATTAAAAGGTGCAATGACATGTCTTTAAGCTCCTTTGAGGGTCTCGATGGAGGAGGATCTTAAGGCTATTTTCCCTTTTTTTTTCCCTTTTTACCTTATTCTTTGTATTTCAAGTACCCCATCTAAGGATTTTACTGGAGATTCATTTATTTTCATGGGTACCAATTTTCGTGGATTAAGGACAAACTTTTGTTTTCATGGAAATTAAATTTCGTTGTTTTATAAAAGTCTACATACATGCTTATAGAAAATTTGTTCTTCGTTAAACATTTAAATTTGTGGTTCACTTGTACCCACGAACTAAGTGTATGAAATGAATCTTCAGTTTTCTTTGTTTTTGTTTTGCCAATTTTTGTTTTTATATTTTTTTTTGTCCATTATACTCTATTCTTTGTTTTTGTTTTGCTCATTTTTCTTAATAATTGTTTTTGCTCATTATTTGCTATTCTGTTAGCCCAGTCCAGACCCTCATAAACAAACTCCCAATATTACATTAAGAAATATTTTGTGTGAGCATTGCACCAAAAGACATTTTAATTTCTTTAATGCATTATTAGGAAACAACTGTATTGAAATGTCGTGTTTAAGGTTACATGAAAATATAAGGCAAATTGTATTGATCGTTAATGATTATAATTAATGGACTTTCTAAGATCTGACATGATAATATATAATTAATGAATGTCATCGACGGGTTTGACTAAATACCATGCAAATTTGTTTTAAGGGCAACTGATAATATTGTGTCTATTGGTAATCTTTATGCTTGTGTAAAATGATTGATGTTGACTTTTAACTATCATAGAGGTGATAGCTAAATTCAATCTTCTTTTTTTGCCCATTAAACTATATTTTGTAGATTGTAAAAAAATCTTTTTTTGCCAGTTAAACTATTTTTTGTAGATACTCGTGGTAAAAATTTTAGAATTCTTTTTGTTGATTGTGTTGTTGGGTTGTTGTCTCGTTGATTTATACCCACATCAAAATATATTTATAACAATTATAAGCCTTGAAATGCCTAAAATAAGCATGTATATTAATGAGTAACTTACTATCACTCTGCATTTACATCGTGGGAGGAACCAAGGGAATTTAATGATTTTGTTATTAAAAGATAATTTATCATTTATCATTGCCTTAGGAATTTCATTTTTTATCATAGTTAATTATTTTTGTAGGAAAGGCAACAGCTGGAAGAGAAGATGAGAAAACAAGACATGGAAATAGATTATTTAGCCCCATTTATTGCCAGAATCGTTCAAGGCGATAAAATTACGAGAGAGGAAGCATACACATTGAAGACCGAGGCATTGAAAGATCTGAAAGATAGACTGATTAACAAAGCTAATTTGATTCAAGCTAGATATGAAAAGGTCAGAACTTAGTCAATTAGCTCGTAGATTTCAAATCAATAAGCTGATTATCTGATAACAGAAAAAACACGGGTTAAACTATAAAATATACAGTCACTAGATTTGTGATTCATGGGTTGTCGGAGGATAAAACTGTGTTCAATCTTAGAATAACTTTGTAACAATGGTTTGTTGTCAATCTTGTCACAAAGTCTCTCCACATTGACAGAGATATCCGTCTTTTGTCCAGAAATGTTGGGCAAAAAAAAAAATAGATTCTGAAAAACTACATTGAATATAAGTGTGCCAGTCTCAAGGCTACTTTCAGCTTAAATGATTTGGGAGAAAAATATGGTTCCTTCTATTTTCTACTTTATTTCTATTAAAAAGTCAATGGTCAATTAGTAATAAACAAAAGAATTAATCCAAGAATTCAAAATAGAAAATTATTAAACTTTTGACCAAATTTAATACTGCTGATAAACTCATACACTATGTACATTCATGAATTAATATGCTGTTTGGTCACTTGTTGATAATTTTTCCATACTTTGAATTCTTGGATAAGTTTTTCTATAAATAGTAATCTGATCATTTGTAAGCTACAGAATCTTCAGAAAAAGAAAATCAATCAAAATGCAGGATTAGACTTTAGCTTTGAGGTAGAAATCCTAAAAATATTCAAAGTGCTTTTTTATTCATAATTACATATCAAATTGTATGACATAGCCAAAAGCGTTTTTTTTTATTTGATATAAATTTTTTTTAAAAATCATTTGTTGAGAACATGGGGAAATAATGCTGGGCAATTTTATCAAGAAATTTCTGAAAATTAGTTATCTTAGTAAATTATTTAAGTTTACAGAAAAAATTATTTAAGTTTACAAAAAATAACATGTCAAAATATATTTGCTGTAGCTCTTTAATCCTTAAGTAGGTTACTTCAGCCTATTTATAACCAACCCTCACCTTATCCTATTACCAATGAAATACTCTTACCTGCAAATTATTGCTTCCAAATGTTTGTGTCAAAATTTTCCATAAAGCATGCCCATATTATATTAACTGATATATTATTATTTCTGATTTCGTTCATAATTTGTGTAGGCTGGGTGATGTATATCACAACACGGTGGGTGCATCAATTTGAACAGGATCTGCTAACCCTTTTAGAGCACATGGGATCACCCTTTGGTATCATTTGTCTCTATTTGACATATGTAATTGACATTAATGTATTATTGCTGACCCCGTGTTGACCTCTAGATGTCTTCATTGGTTTTATTGTTATAAAGTTGTTGTCTTAATTATGTCCTTTAATATGATTTTGAACTTTAATTCATATTTAGGTTGAACTTTTGATGTCTTTTGGTTATCTTGTTGTTGGGTTGCTGTACATATTTTTATTCCTATAATAGCATCCAACATGTATTGGGACAGGGATGAAATCTTGACTCTCTCAGTCTGTTTGTGTTTCATTCTTTTCTTTCTCTTTTAGTGTATTACCCCCAAATCTCCTTTTATTCATATGTAACTAGTCACAACCAAACTTATTCTACTCATCTACTTTTCTCAGAAAGGGCTTAGTTTATTTTGATTTTATGAAAAGTTGAAAATGTCAGGTGTTTGAACCTATTGCTCAGGTGGAAGTCAAAAAGTGTATTGGCCTTAAAGCTAAATCAAAGACTGTACAATATTGATTTCATTATACTTTTAATACATATTTTGTTGTAATAGCAGTAGGTGTAATATGAACTGAAAGGTTGCAAGAAAATTAGTATGCACAGTAGAAAGGATGCTTTCTACGGAAATTCCATAACATAAACTGCTGCTGAAAATAACAGCCAATAATTTATATCTCAACATGTTAAATATCCAGTTTCTTTGAAACTTGATAATATAGGGAGAAAAATATTTCAAATCAAAGAATATCTTATTAAAATATAACCACATCTTGAAAAAATCATTGTTACCTACAACAAGTTTTAGTCATAAGATGTTTTTGGAGAAACAGGCTCATTAAATTAAATGACCTTCAGTGAGTGTGTTTTCGTCCCTTTTCCCGTATATGATGTATATGTCTGAAATAGAATTATTGACATACTTTCATGTTAATTTTCTGTTACATAAGCAAAATCTTAACATCACTTTCTAAGTCTGATGTATAATGTCCAGACAATAGCTTCAGGGACATGGATTAAATAACAAAACATTGAAATAAGATTTCATCTTTTTGTAGTTAGCCCAGCTGGCCTATAGGACCAGTATCAAGTATTTCAATCATTTGGCATCCATAGCTATGTCATCTGTAATTAGAAAAATACTTCTCACAATCCCTTTTACCAATTTAGAATAAATTGAGGAAAAATTATATATGATGTATGATTCATGAATAGGACTTATTGCTGTTAGCGTAAATTCAAAAAAGATATTGCGAGGTTTTTTATTTATAAGAATAATGGGACTAGGTCAGATTGCAATAATAGTATATTGCTTCTGGTATCTAATACATATAGCTGTATTCAGCTTTTCATGAAATCTCAATTATTTATCTCAAATTTTGGTTGTTTATGTCAAAATCACACTGCTCCCAATAATTTCTTAATTGACAGTTGATGTTAAGCAACCAACAATCAATCAGTCAACTTAATAATTAACAGTAGTTACTTCAACAATGTCCTTCATGGTCTTACCAACCCTTTCAAAGAGGCTGTTAGTGAAATATAGTGAACAGGAGTTACTAGCTTACTATAAAATGATTTGGTTTTTGTCAGAGATTAAATTTTGCAATTTCAAAGGCCAAATGTGTCCGGGAGTTTTAATTTTTTCACCGTTTTCTTGTTCTTGGCACATTCCTTCAAGATCAAATTTATACAGGTTACTGTTTTTGTGACTTTTTTCTGAATGGTTGAATTCAAATTGTATATGATGTTTTCCACCTATAAAAACATTTGAGCAGATGCTTTTGCAAATCAAAAATGCATTTGAATTTGAAATGGCCAATTATGAACAAAGGGAAAAGCTTTAATTTTCTTGTAATGAAAAGAAACCAGTCAAAAAATTTGGTAAACATTTAATTCACAGTTTATATACTTTACAGGAAACTCAAATGTTAACAGAGAAGCAGGCCTGGTACCACCAGAACCAGTTGTCTTGTAATAAGGAAGATGAGGAAAAATACATGACTTTCTGTCAGGAAACACTCTTCAAAATACACATGTTAGAACTCAGATTAGCAAGGTTAGTTTGTATTCTATAAACATAATAGGTTAGCACTCACATTTTCCTGTTCATATCTTTGTTATCACTGCAATGAAAGGTTTCTTAATCATTAACCGTAAAGAAAAAAATTAAATTTATACAAAATTCTGAAATTACTGACAATAGCAAATGACTGCAATTCAGAACACCTCATTTTGGGGTTCAGATAAGTGAGGGTGGGACCTTTTTTCAAAATGGAGGCAGATTTGTATAACAAAAAGTCCAGGATCTCTAGTTCTTTGGATTGATGCTTTAAACAGGACAAATGACCTTCTTAGGGTGGGCCTTTCCCTTAGAAATTCAAATAGTCCTGGACCTTTCATTCTGTAAAGCAAACTGAAATTGTTTAATTTTCTTTTTTTTTTTTCTTTCTTTATATGATATCTTTGATAACAGTTATTACTTTGGATTATTATTTGTGGGATAACAATTCATGAGGATTTCTTGGGTAACGGTGAACCACAAATTCAAATGTTCTATGAGGTACAAATTTTCTATAGGCTTGTATGTAAACTTTGGTAAAATAGCAGATTCAAATATCTACAAAAAGGCAGTTTTTCCTCAATCCGCAAAAATTGGTACCCACGAAAAATAAAGGATCCACACGGCACATTTACATTTGAGTAGAGTGTATCAATCTGAATAAAATACAGATCCTATGTCTACTCTTTGCTGACAAGGATCTGAAAACGTTCCACTCTACTTTCTGTTAAATTAAAGAACTTTCAGGTTCCTCAGGTTTTGTGATAATGATACAAACCTTCCAAAATTTGGAGGCAGAAATTTGATTGGTTGATATAATATTTATCAGAACAGAAAGTAGGACAGAGAGTTGTCAGATCCTTGTAAACGAAATGTAGACATAGGACCTACATTTTAATCAGATTGACAGTGCATATGAACTTTTGCATGATGGTTCTATATTCCTGTCTAGGTCAATTATATTTATTTACAGGTGACCTTTTGTAATAAGCCTAAATATTTATATTGTGATGCCTTACATGCTAAAAGTCATTTAATGATAACTTATCGTCAAAATATGTCAATGATTTATATTTTAGAAATAAAACAGAGAAAATCTAGTTGATATTGATTAAAACCAGGGGGAATTATGTTTTCTCTTGTCTAATATAATGAGTAATATATTTTATAGATAGTTAGTTGATGATGGAAACTGTAAAATTGTTAAAAGTGCTAACCCTTTTTACACTAAATTCGTGATAAGATGTCATTATAAAATTTATGTATGAGACATGATTTCCTGAGAATATATAAAAACTAATTCAAAAAGCATGTCTGAGAGGAAATATACTAAAGCATCAGTCATTGGCTTGAAAACCATTAACAAGCTTTGAATAACAGTGTTTCTCTTCTAGAAAAATATTTGTCTTAAATAATCTGATTGACACGATACAATAAATTACTTTGATATTTTCCTTTCATTCATCATGTCATTATTAAAAAAAATTGACAATGTTAAAACTAAATATTTAGTAAGCTCCCTTTTGATTTTCATGTTTTTCAAATTAGTATTTCAGTGTTTTTAATGGTAAAAGAATATTTTTGATATGTCTAGGGGTAAATCAAGTATGTTCTCTCTGTCCTTATTTAACTATTATTTGCTATTTTTTGCCATTCAATAACACTTATACACATGAATGCATTCACTGATTTAAATGTAAAATGAGACAGATACAAGAAGAGAATAGATTTGGGCTATTCAAGAAAAAAATGTTTGGGAAGGTTGGACACCTCATGAAATTTTCAATGGTAATCAGCGGCCGAGTGGTCTAAGTAGTCAAACTACTGTATCACTAGCCAGTCAACATTGAAGTTGTGAGTTTGAATCCTGCACGGGGCAGGTGTACTTGACTCCAATCTTAATTGACTAGGATTGTCAGTTTTCCTACTGAAGGTTGGTGGTTCTTTCCAGGCACTCCGGCTTCCTCCACCAATAAAAACTGACAGCCACGAAATAGCACAATAGTGTTGAAAGTGGCATTAAACACCAATCAATCAATCAATGGTAATAGGAGTGGAAACAAATGCAATTTTGTAACAAATGAAAATCAAATTCATGGTGGTGGGATATAAAAAATGTTGTCCAACCCCACTGTACATTTTGTCCTGGATTTGCCCTTAGAAATTAAACATTTTTTATTCCATGAAATTGAGATATCATTTAATTGTAAATCAGATAATTAACAACAAATGTTTTGTTTTGCAGACATAAAGAAACTGCACCACATAAGTACATGGCTTTAGACAGGAAGTTAAGAGATGACCAGAGACTTGCAGAATATTTTTAATTCTTTCATCTCATAGGTAAGTTAATAACATAAAAGTGATCTGTTGCAAGATTGACATCTAACAAAGAGTTCCTCTCAAACCAATGCTAGGGGTGGTTAACTGTTACATTAACAGTTTACAAAACTTTGTATTGTTCCAAACATTATGGATTTTCTACCCCTGGAATAGACTACATTAGTTGTATTTGGCAAACACTTTTGGAATTTTTGGTCCTTAATGCTCTCAGCTTTATACTTTATTTGGCCTTTTATCTTGAGCCCCACTGGTGGATGTTTTGAAGACGAAACGCACGTCTGGCGTAGATTATTATAAACCTGCTTGGTATCTTTGATGAGTTTTTCTTTATGATGAACTTGTAGTGAGATGAGAGTGTTTACTCTGTGTTGAAAGCCTCCCAGTGACTGAGATGATAACAGCAATAAAAGTCTTGTTCCTTTGCTTTTTTTTATTACATATGCATGCAATGATTTTGTGTAATGATTTTGTGTCATGTGATGTAATGATTTTGTGTCATGTAATGATTTTGTGTCGTACATGTAATGATTTTGTGTCATGCATGTAATGATTTTGTGTCATGTGCATGTAATGATTTTGTGTCATGCATGTAATTTTTTTGTGTCATGCATGTAATGATTTTGTGTCGTGCATGTAATGATTTTGTGTCATGTGCATGTAATGATTTTGTGTCATGAATTGATATTCTATATCCCTCCTTTTCCATCGTATTGTAAAACAAGAGTTTGTGAAGAAATATAAATTGGGGTTATCATCAATGAGACAAGAGCTTAGCAAAAAACGACATTCAAATGAGATCATGAAGATCTAGAGGTTGCCTTATGACCTTAACATTCAAATAAGATCATGAAGATCTAGAGGTTGCCGTATGACCTTGGCATTCAAATGAGATGATGAAGATCTAGAGGTTGCCTTATGACCTTGACATTCAAATGAGATCATGAAGATCTAGATGTTGCCTTATGACCTTGACATTCAAATAAGATCATGAAGATCTAGAGGTTGCCTTATGATCTTGACATTCAAATAAGATCATGAAGATCTAGAGGTTGCCTTATGACCTTGACATTCAAATGAGATCATGAAGATCTAGATGTTGCCGTATGACCTTGACATTCAAATAAGATCATGAAGATCTAGATGTTGCCTTATGACCTTGACATTCAAATAAGATCATGAAGATCTAGAGGTTGCCTTATGACCTTGACATTCAAATGAGATCATGAAGATCTAGAGGTTGCCTTATGACCTTGACATTCAAATAAGATCATGAAGATCTAGAGGTTGCCTTATGATCTTGACATTCAAATGAGATCATGAAGATCTAGAGGTTGCCGTATGACCTTGGCATTCAAATGAGATGATGAAGATCTAGAGGTTGCCTTATGACCTTGACATTCAAATGAGATCATGAAGATCTAGATGTTGCCTTATGACCTTGATCAAGGTACCCACTTAATGAGGCTGTTAAGATTAAAATCAGCGAAAAAAAATTCAACAAGTGAGAAATGTCTGAATACTGTTTAAGTATTTTTTATGGCAATAACAGATATAGATATGTTTTTATGAAAACATTTCATTGTTTTGAATGTTTGGTTGTTAAAATCGACTACAACATGTTCAGTTGTCACATTGAGTTATCATGTTTTATTTTTGGTTGTGTGATAAATTACAATATAATTGTATAATGAATTATTTGTTAAAGTTTTCAATGATAGAATTGTAGAAATAATAGTTATAGAACACATCAACTCTAACATTAGTTTATTAACTAAAACAATTGAAGGCCATGATAATCATGATGCATTGCTCAAACTTTAAAGTTTAGGTATAGAATTGGGAATTAGCTGCAAATACTTTTCATTTGGAAGACTAGCTGCCACTACAAGTGCAGCTGACACTTGATTAAAATATATCTGTTGGCAAAAATGATCGGTATAAAATTTTACATGTGGAAAGTGCATTCATTGAAAATCTGTGATGAATTAACTGTGAATGATCATGTTTTCCATTTCAGTTACAAAGAAATGAACAACCTATTAATCTCAAATTGTGCCTCGGAAATTATGTGACAATGAGGGGTTTCCGCAATATTCGTCAAGTTGTTTTGTAGTTGTAAAAACCTGACGTCAGAAGATGATAACTCGATTATGTCTTTCTAACATACCATTTATAGTAACTTAATGAAGAGTGAAGCTATATCACAAGCTTATACAAAGTGCTCAAGTACAAGCAATTAATCCATTGGATAAAAAACCTGACAAGTTTATAGCTTAAAGGCTTTCAATTATTGGAATAAATCTGGTCACAAGCTGAAGCATACAGAATATCTTTATTGACAAATTGTTTTGTGTGCTTACGGCTACTCCATGTCAATTCTGTGATATATATATACATATTTATTTGTAAATAAACTCATGTTTTTGTCATTATCTTGTTTCTATGAGTACAACTAATACACCCACTTCGTATTTAAATACTGAATTCCAACAGTAATTTACCCTATATAAGCTTTCACAAAAAAGGCATATGGGAATAATTTACGGTGTTTTCTAAATCTTTTTTATTTCACATTACTTTTTCAAAACATTGAAGCGTCCTTGTTTCGCAAATATCGATGATCCACGTTGACAATTTGCTGATAGTGTTCTCATAAAAAATAAAAGTTATCGTTAATACATAAAAAAAAAAGTATATAAAAAATCACTTAATAAATTGAACAGTCCAAAAATACTCTACAACCACCAACACCAAACTCATTAAAAAAAAGTGTACAAAAAAGGAAGAAAAAAACAACATGGTCCAGATAGCTTGACCTTGGTGCAATAATTTTGTATAGTTGGGCAACAAATGATTGTCTAGTGGGTAATTCAGTTATTTTCAAACAAACGGATAGCCAATAGATATTTTGACCTTCAAAAAATTTGTGTTGTTCATTTATCTTATAGAACATATACCCACACATCATGATCAATAGGCTCTATTATTTAGAAACCTCAGCTACCACAAGTGGAAAACAAAGGAAGATAATAAACCTGCCCAAATTATTGACCATAACCTATCTTGCATTAGGTCGTGTAAGAGGCACTACAAGCCAGTAAAAGTCGAAAATGGGCAAAGGTTTTGTTATTACAAAGATTTTGATTTTTTGTTTTTTTAACGCCACTTTTAAGCACCGCTTTTGGGCTATTTCATGGCGGCCAGTTTTTATTGGTGGTGGAAGCCGGAGAAGACAACCGACCTTTGATAGGAAAACTGACAATCCTAGTCAATTAAGATTGGAGTCGAGTGCACCCGCATGAGCGGGGTTCGAACTCACAACCTCAGTGTTGACTGGCTAGTGATTACAGTAGTAACTACTTAGACCACTCGGCCACCGAGGCCCTGTTATTACAAAGAGTTACCGCTATTATGTTACAGATACAACTTCAATGTATTATCCTATTTCATTAGAATCTAGATTGCTACTTAATATCAAGTAAATATGTTTATGATATTTGTGTGGTAGATCATCTTAACAACCCAATAGGCCAATTTTCATTTTTGTTTCATAAATTTACACTTTTAATTGATATGCCTAAATTATTAACATCTGCAGTACTAAGATAAATGAACTACACAGAGGGTGGTAAAGGGTTATTTTCGTGCAAAGTGTTTTGCCATTTTTATTTCACGTGCAGCCGTGAAAAAGGTTCGTTATTCACCGTGTTTCGTGAAATCGGTAAAAAGATCAAAGTGCAAGAAATATTTAATTATTCGTTCATCGTGAAATGACAATTTTATTTCGCGTTCTTCTGTGCAGATACCCCCCTTTACGCCACTCTACACATTCCAATTTTTTGACAACTGTTATTATCAACGATTTTTTCCATGAAGCTTTTCAACTGAAATCTCTTGACCTGTAACCTCCAAGCATAGCCTGAACATATTTATTGGGGAATTTTCATAAAAATGATTATTTGATGACCCTAATGAATGATTATTAGGAGTGGAGGACGTGAGATTTTATGCTATGTTGAGAAAAATTGTTTCCGTTTTAGACTTTCTCCTGTATAAGGGTTAAGAAATTAAAATGAGCCCATGGTTTATAACTAGAATAAAATTAATAAATAAGTAAATAATTTATAATATTTAAAGTGTCACCATCCATTACAAAATCTATATATACACAATGTCATAGAAACCTAACAATAAGTAAAAGGATGCCAGCTGAAAACGACTTATTAGACACTATCAATAAAAATAGACATTGAAATCAAAAATAAAATGACAACATTTAACATATAAAAAGTAGGTTATTTCTTGTAGTAAGACAAGAGACATGAATCAATACACCGTTTCAGAAAAGTACAAAACAATGGAAATTCAACCAATGACGTAACGTTATATAATAATTTTCATTTTCTTTGGTGTACGAACAATGAGATTACCCATAGTTCTTTAGAAATTGGAAATACGAATTGGCTATTGTGTGATGCCTAATCACTGGATATGTTTTTCTGAAGTATTAACAGGAATTGCACAATAGATATTACCAATAGAGAAGGAACTGCTGACTTTTCCGAATCACATCAGTTTACCCCAGGTAAATGATAGGATTAATTTTTCTCACTCTTTAAGTTTTTGTGTGTTAGGTGTTTTTATTTTGTTGTTTGTCTGTTTGTCTTTTATTCTTTTTATATTCCGGAGTTCTATACCTACACTCTGCTATGTTGTTTAATGAAAATTACTCCTTCAAAAGACAACCCAAATAGAAGTTTAGCAAATTTAAGAACAAACTATACTTGTTCATTTGTACTCTCTTATGAATGCGGTGGTTTTTGTTAAATTCTTAAAACTTGTAGCAAAAGAGTAATGGAATGTAATTTCAAATGTGGAATGATTTTTATTCGGTGAAATAGATTTATATCGTTATCTTTGTGAATTCGGTTAATAAGAAATTAAGTTGATATTGTCAATTGTCACATCATCTGATTACGTCATAGAAAACCGAGTATAACGAGGTCAAATATAATAAATTTTGTTACTATGCAGGTTAATCATTTCTTCTTATCTGTTCATCAACTACATTCATTTTATGACTTAGATCAAATTATCATTTCTATGAAATGTGATGAAACCATTCAAGTCTTTAACCGGAGGCAGAAGATTCCTAATAAATCTGTTTATGAAGTAGGATAATTAAGGTCGCATTATCATCAGTACAGTAAAAGTTCAAACCGAAAGGAATAAAATTCAGTTGGTCCTTTTAGTTGGAATCTTCGTTAATAATCATTTTATTGGTGTGAATTCTAAATATCGGGTTGTTACCAAGACAAAAATGACAGTATTTACAAACATACAATATTCATAACCAACATAAGTTAACCAACATTCATATTATATAAGTATATCGTGTATTTTAGTTGAATCCTATGGTACATATATTCGTTAAGTTTTAAGTTAGTTTTAAATGTTTACCTTTTGGAATTGATGACTGTTATCTTTTGATTGTTATGCCCTACCTACGATAGTAGTAGGGGCATTATGTTTTCTGGTCTGTGCCTCCGTTCGTTCGTCCGCTTCAGGTTAAAGTTTTTGGTCAAGGTAGTTTTTGATGAAGTTGAAGTCCAATCAACTTGAAACTTAGTACACATGTTCCCTATGATATGATCTTTCTAATTTTAATGCCAAATTAGAGTTTTGACCCCAATTTCACGGTCCACTGAAGATAGAAAATGATAGTGCGATTGGGGCATCCGTGTACTATGGACACATTCTTGCTGAAATTGTGTTATTTACATAAAAATCTATTTGACAAATGAATTCGAGGCAGCTACAAAAAGTGAATAAAACTGGTTTTTTTTTAAACCAAAATGAATAAAAGATGTGCTTTAGTGACACAGCCACTCAATGAAATACCAAGACACATTAGCAGTAAATTAACCTAAATGTTTGGTCAAATAAATTATTTGAAAAAAAAGTTTCAGAAAGGTTTTATAGTCGGAATCTTCGTTAATAAGTTACGTTTTCAAGACAATTCCTACACATTTAAGATGATCTTTAATTCTAGTAACCAATTATTATATAAAAAACCAATCATGGAACATTCAAGTATACAAACTGAAACAAAAAAAAAACGACTGCCGTGACCTATTGTTGTTAACTTCTACGTCATATGGTCTCTGGTGAGGTGTGTTCTCTTTGGCAATCATACCACATTAATTTGATAAGCAAGAGTAAAAAAAATGCACAGAAACTCCGGATTATGAAACATTAAATATTTATTAAACAAGAGATTAACTCCTGTGTTCTCGGATTGCAACCATCCGAAATAGTTGAACAGCTATATGACCAAAAAGGACCTAAAAAAATAACCAAATCCATCTATAAGGTCAACTATCACTTTTTTTTTTATAGTATTCTATAGAACTATAAAAGATATATATATATATATCTGACAGCTATTCAAATTAGAGCAAGTTTTATTTATAACAAAAAGCATTATAGGGACAGAAAAAACGACATATCTACCAGTAAATATACCAAATAGTTAAATATCGATTTGTTTTAAACCACAAAAACTTTACTAAAGAAAATTGTTAGGAAACATGTGTTACGGGGCAGATGAGGTTCGACACGTCTCATTGATGCCGAACCTCATCAAAAACAAATATCAAATATAATAATATTGAAGTTTAGTACGTATTGAACGTCTTGAATGATTTTCAAACACAAAGAAAAAAAAACCCGCTTTCACCTCATTAACATAAGAATACTTATTTACACAATCCAAATGATTGGTTCACAACATTTTCCCCCTATTCTCCGAAACGTTGAAAAATAAATATCTCATAAGTCGATTAAAAAGACAAATCATGTAACAAAGAAACCTATAAAAACAGGGGAAATCGCTTAAACTCCAAAAGGAGCGAGATCGGATACGTAGACTTGGTAACCGTATCCTGCTGTGCATGCATAGTCCTGAAAAGGGATTATATTAAACGGAGATGTGGCATAATTACCAATCATATAAGAATATATCAAAAAATAAATAAACACGGTTAAAATAACATTAAAAGTACCAATAATACTACACCAGATGCGTATTTCAACAATAAATGTCTTGAGTGATGCTCAGGTCAAAATATTTAAAAATCCAAAACCTTATACAAACCTTAAAGAACATATAAATTAGATACACTATTAACACAAATTTAAAGAATTCAAAGCGTTCTCACAAGCAAGCAGCCAATAACTGTAAAATATAAAGGCTTACACTGCAATCTCGGGGACACGTTCTACTGTGTCTTCACTGCACGCACGACAAACCCTGCAATCAAATGAATTAAGGTAAGAAGATATATATGATCTCCAATCAGACAGCTATACACAAAAACACCAAAATGACAAGGTAAAATATACAATAAAACATATATAAAACTGAAGG